ATTGAATTAAGTACAACATATTGTCAATCGAGTGTACAGTTACATTGGCTTGGTAACTTTCCTTGTTATATTGTTACGACATTGTCTGTTTAAGACGCAGAACACATACTGTCTCTATCAAGGTAGGGTCGGTCTTCCTTCCTCGTCCTTATATGAATACAACCTTGATTAGTTACTTTATAATGAACTAGCTTCGGCCAACGGCTTCGCCCGCGTTCCTCTGGGATAAATGATAACCTATGTGTTGTTTCAGCCCATAATCTATTCTTGTACTAAATTTCATCTCGATCCCTTCAGCCGTTTCGACGTGAAAGAGTAACAAACACACACATATATTCTTTCAAATGTTCGGGTTTATAATATTTGTCGATAGTAGGATACCTTTAATTCATCCATGATTCGTGTGTGAAGTGTCGTGGTGGCCCGGAGGTTTAAGACGCCCACTTCTCATGCATGAGGGTGCGGGCTCGAAACCTACCAACGGCAAGTACCAATCTGACTTTTTCCGAGTTATATGTACTTTCTAAGATTATTTAGACACCACTGACAAACAGTGAAGGAAAAACATCGTGAGGAAACCTGGACTTATAATTTCTAATTATAAGTTTGAAATCGCCAACCCGCATTGAGCAAGCGTGGTGATTAATGCTCTAACCTTCTCCGTGTGAGAAGAGGCTTTGCTCAGCAGTGGGCATTTATAGGCTGTTAATGAATCCATGATTCAAAATATGATTAAAAGAGATTACTATACGTCAATTTTCTCAGGTTTTCTCTGTAAGGTTTTCTCAATGCAATTTCATAATTTTCCTTTCACATTTAAAAATGTGTTCATTTAACATGCGACTGTAATTTTAAGTAGCTTAAAAACAGTTATTATTTTTTTATATAAAGAGGTTTAAAAAAAGATATGCTCAAAAAAGGTAAAGAGCGAAATAGTTCACATTAAACAAAGTCCATGTGTTCGAAGGAGGCTTTAAATGGTATACTTCAATATCATGTTATGTGTATGCTTCTGTTTATTTTAACTTAAGGTATTAAAAATTTGCTTTTGAATAATAAAATCTGTTTTACTAACTAACAAAGCCCTTTGAAAATGAAGTAATTATCTTTCTCTCTATTAAATGGAAGTCTGAAGGCACTCTCTAGAAGCTCCGTTAATTAAACACTATATCAAATACAATATAAAGTGTTGCATCGCTTCCTTCCTCTTTATTATAAAATTATTAATACAATTAGTACTTAGAACTTGCGCTTGACACTTTTGGATAGGTTTATGCAAGAAATAATAAACCATGTTGTATTGAAATAATTTATTTGAGTATAATTTATTATTTTTCTACAAATAAATCATGTAGTAGTGTATAAAAAATTAAGCAAGTGTCCAATGACAAACGTCGTTCAGAGTGCAGAACCAATTAAAAACGTTTTGAACAGACTTACAATTGTTGATTAAAGGCAGTTTAGGCGTATATCCCAATTATATAATATTAATATAACTACCTATGTTCAGCACATTGATGCTATTTTTACCACAATACAGATGAGGTCAATAGCTCATATTTAATACTCGTTTATAATAACAATCAACTGTCAAGCATTTACTGACCGACGTGGACGATTCAGTCCAATAATTCAATTGTGAACATTATTGTCACATTCGTATTGAATTAGTCATTGGATTCTTTGTCATTGATATGCTAAATAACTCACAGCTTTTTTCCTCGAGTTTATTCTCAAATGACAACGAACTTTAAGAGACAATGTACTAACGTTGTGGTTGGATATGGTAAGCGCTGTTATGTATAGGTGATGCCGTCATTTAGTACCATGTATTGTTAAAAGTCTTGTGAGATTGTCTCGCTCAAATAATACTACAGCAAATATTGATAACTAAATTCTCAGTTTGAAAACGTAGTCTGAATTGACCATGCTCAATCATGATCATGTCTGACGAAATTTGGAACCAGTTCTGAGGTCATTTTTATGAATCCCATCCTGAAACGATTTTGGCAATCTAGTTTTTGTTGGTGGTCCGGCGAGTAGCCGGCGCGATTGACTCTAATTGCTCGGCGGCTTGACCATACTATAAAATCCGGTTATTACCAGTTTCGCAGATCTCATGCATCAGTTGTAGGAATTTGAGACATGGGGTGCCCCAAATTTAACACGATAATTGAGCTTCCACTTAGTTTTAATTAAGACTACGATCTTTAATGAAAGATTGGACACAATGACTCTCATGTTTCACTAATATTTAGGTTACTCACGCGCACGCTTCAAAGGAGATGAAGTAAATGAAATTAAACGGTGTGACAGTGACGCACCGCGGGAATTATCTATATTACTTTGTTAATAGTTTAAATAAAATTTCATAAAAATTTATTTTTCATAATAAAACCAATTGGAAAAACTATTTTAATCTGGTTATTAATCAAAATCGAAATTACTTCAGGGGTTATCGTTTTACTGAATTGACATGATAAATAAGTAAATGAAAGAGATATCGAAGAGCTTTTGCTACGCTGTAATATAATGGTACCGTTAACAAGACCTTACTGCCGTGCATAATTTTACAAAAAAAAAATTTTTCTCAAATTTAGTAAGTACCTACTCATATCAAGAGGTTTTTATCATGGACTCGATCGACTCGCAAAACAGGTACCTACCAACAATTTTTAACATACACGAAGAACAGACCTAATTATGTAAATTAGGTACATACCTACATTCACTTAATCTTTACACAACAAGGTTAATGTTTCAATGTATTTAAACTTCATACGGTAGAATAATAAAAAACAAAAAGTAGTTCCTGGTTCCGTTCGAATGTGACCGTTTAAATTGCAAGGCGCAATATTATGGGGTTGCGCGGACTTATTGATTTACCGAACACCCTCCATTGATAGCACAGAGTATAATAGCTGCCGTGCTTAGTGTCCATAGATAATAAACTTTACCCGATGTCACAAGCAGAACAGAACCTAAGTACAACGAATAGCTAACGGGAGTTCTTTTATTTTACGTACTAAATTTTATTATCATCGCCATGATTTAGATTAGCTTCGATCACTTAGTGATGTTCTTAATTTTATACTTAATTTATTGAATGCTTATATATAATAAAAGTTAGATATTATATTTGCTACAGAATTGTAGTTTTACAGAATTAAAAAATAAAGTTATAACGCTGAGTTTTTTACAGAATATTTCTAAGTACAAACAGAAGACTTTATCAAATAAAAACATTAATACTTTATTTAATGTAAACAAATGATATTTTGTAAAGACTGTACCGATTAGAATGAATAAGGAAACACACAGTTTGTCAAACTAACTGTTTTACTAAACAGATCATGTGCAATTTAATTCTTAATTTTGTATACCGACATTGTTGTATAATACCCACGCCGTGGTCGCGTCACCACCCTTACTCATTATGGTTGCTTAAATTGGCTATAAAACTAAAACCCTTTCATCAGTATCATGTAAACAACACAATGGAAGTTAGTTACATTAAAAGTGTTAACACGTGCAATATATAACTTAATTCTATCAATTTCTAGATAACACAAATAATAAAACAAAAGCATATGTTTGCACATTCTGAAGAATTATGTAATTTCAAACAAATTCGTAATCATAGCCGTTTAAAATTCAGGAATGAACACAAAAGATTCACAGAGGAGTTAACTCAACTACATTATAATAAGGTACTTTTTGTCATAGTTGACCTTATAAACTGCATCGACGACTGCATCTAATAAATCACGAAGAGGAAAATCTGTAGACTGTCGATCGACTTTTGACAGGAACGCAGGACTTTTAATCAAAGATTTTGGGTCGACCCAGGATATTAATTTCGGCCGCTAGGGAGCCCTATGCCTTGTGATACAGGTTGAGTCAAAGTAATCCCATACAATTTCGTCGGACGGACCCTAAAGCCATGGACGTAGCCACGGTGAGGCATGGTGAGGCACTAGCCCTACCCTGCCTGTCCCTGTCTTTAACACACTTCGTATTAAGTTATTGTAGATGTCATTTTGCAGAGGTTTTTATATCCGTCTGGTTTTAGGCGGCTCAATAGTATACAGATATAAAAATCCAAAGTCCTGCCGAAGATAAGCAGCTTCGGCAGGACTTTGAAGCGCTATCACATGTTGCATCGTCGTGAATTTTGAGGGTGTGATCAGAAAGTTTTTTCGTCAAGGTCTGAAAACTGCGACCCGATTGCTTGGGCAGCTTCTACGAACCTATTATCTCGTCGATGTCTTTTTAGTCGTATTCATGTGGTATAGATAGGTCTTAACTGCTCACATTGCCTGCTCATATAAAAAATAACCAGTGTAAAACCGCGTGTGTATATAGTTTTCCGATTACGTATTAGGTCTTTACCTTGAAATTGCCGTTCTGCAGTACTGGTCAAATCAAAATAATTTTTATTTGGCTAAGAATTTTAATTTTCTTACAAAACAGAAATGTCATTGGTAAAAGTACCTAGTTATTATTTTTTTAGACTTGCTCTACCCTGGGTCCAAGGCTGGCTATGCCCATGCCTAAACCACATGGTTTGGAGGTTCGCATAGAATAGACAAATAGATATGTATGCCAGTCGGTTCCTTTGAAGCAACCTATGCTCTAATTTCAAAGCGTAGTTTCTCATAGAGATGAGAAGACAGTGTACAGACGGGTGTTTGAAACGAGAATAGGATCGATTTACCGCCATATTGTATTGTGATTGTGATGTGTAGTAACACATCACTAATTGATAATGAAATCTGTTGATTAGTCGTCCCACTTTGATGGATATGAATATTAAATAATACTATGATTTTTTAAATAAAATTGCAATCTGAACCTGTTTTACAAGTGCCATTAAAACCTTTTACTTTTATTGCAAAGGCATTTGCTCTTTAACCTATTAACTAGCTAGCGTATTAACGTTGATAATAATCAACCAACATTATAATAGATATTGACTATTTCCTTTTTTTCTGTTTCAGAAACTACCGTATCCAAAGGCTGTGGGATTTATAGTCACAAATGAATTCTGCGAAAGATTTTCATACTATGGAATGCGAAGTAAGTTTTGTTTTATATATTTGTCAATTTTTATCATTTAGTTATGTTGTGGAGTTTATATCCAATATGCATAGCATTTAAGATTTATCCGTAGGTACTGACATTGACCGTAGATACGTACTTGCCTTTTTGATTTGTTTTTATACTTCATTTGATCGAATGAAATATATCGAAAATAGTTTTACTCATTTTATATTCAACTTGATGACCTGGCAAACTTCGTACAGCCACAATATTTTTTGTCACCTTTTAAAACCTACCTACCTATTCGGTCTACCGAATCGGTTCATCCGTTCTCTAGTTTTAACGAGATTAACAAACGGAAATACATATTTTATTTATTTTTATACATATAGACTAACATTAATACTGAATCACTAAGATCAGAATATTGCGTTTGTTTACGGATTTAGTTGGTTCCTTCAAAAGGATACGCCTACTTTCATCAGCTGTGTCATTGGTGTAACGTTGAACGGTCGCGGGGAAAATGTTTGGCGGCCATGATTTTCCTCGAAATACTGCAATGGCTTCCTACTCACTAAGATGAGGGCGCGGGCGGAGGAAACACGTGTCATACCAACTCACATTAGCATAGCTTAGCGTTAACAGATTACAATTTAATAATTCTTAGATATTAAAATACTTAACCTCGGCAAATAGAATCTCAGTAAATCATAAAAGTCTCTTTTAAATGGAAAACCCAACTTTTCAACTTTAGGATAAACAAACAACAAGCATAAACAACTTTAAAGGAAAACAGCAAAAATCAATATTGAATAAATGTAGGTCTTGCATACATATTCATAATGAAGTAATTAATATTTATATGTATGTATATAATGTAGACATGTGCTGTTTTGTTAATGTTAGTGACACTAACAGGTTTGGTGACACGTGGCCACGCTCCTAATGAACAACAAAGAGTATGGATTCCGATGAAAGACACATTATAATACAAATTATTCAATGTCTATCAGTTAACAGACATTGCCATTGGGATTGGGAGTCCCCAATCCTGTAGAAACAACGGAACACAGAATAAGAACATGCAATACTTACAGGCTTACAACGGCCTGCCTCCTTAATTTAAGCTTAATTTTTAGAGGGTTTTTTTAAGGGGGGAAAATCATCGAATGACTTCTCCCGCCGGGGTGAGGCGGGAGGGAGTGTCAGACTCTTACTGACTAAAAGCCACCCTGTTCCTACTCCTGCACTTCGAACCGGAGCCCCGGCAACCCGTTAGGTTATCCGCGGCTCCATATCGGCATCAACCCTATTAGGCCCATCCGTGGTGGTCTGATGGCTCTTTAAGGCGCGCGTGGAACGCGACACGCCGTATGCCCGGGAATTTTTAGAGGGTAATAATGTTGTGTCGTGTTGTTTCTGCACAATTTTAAACTAGTCCACAGAAGTCTTCTTTCCACTTAGACTGAATGTCATGTATACCTTAACATCCATTCGCATAATTTATTATGTGACTGGAAAGTGGGTCTTATAGTGTGCGGGTTTCATGGCTGTTTCACCACTAAAACATTCTTTTCATATCTAATCAGCTCGCTTAGTCTAAACGTTGTTTAACTACTTACGGATTAGGTAAAACACCCGAATGGCCGTATCTATGCATTTTTCGACCTACTTTAAACAAAATTTCATAGTTTATCATGGAAAATGTATGTCGAATTTCACCATCAAGTATTTTGTTATCGATAAATTGTAAGGTTATACATATGTATGAGGTTAACAATAAATCTGTGTACAAGTGTATCAGTACAGCGGTTAGTCACAGTCGCGGTCCGCTTCAACAACTACAAAACATCATTGTACATTTATTTGCAGATTTCTAGTATTTGTTCCTACATAAAAGTCATTTTGTATCTTTGTAGAGAATATATTTCATAGTTTTAAGTACATAAACTAACATATAATACTACTTTGCGACTATTAATATATACAACTTAAAATATAAAAAAAGTAATTTAAAACTAAAATATTTACACTTTCAAAAAATAAAAATAAATCATAAGGCATCAAAGAAAACATTTTCCTGATCGCTACCGTGAGGTAGGGTGCCCCTAAAGACTGGCAGCATTGCCACGTTGAATGGCAATGCTGCTTACTTACAACACTTAAGAAAAAAAATTGTATCTTTTGAATCTCAATGTAAATGGAATATAGAGGAATTTTAACCTCTTATTCCTAACCGTAGCCTCAAATAGAGTTTCCAGAAATGTAGCTAGTTGACACTTTTAAAACTAGGTAAGCCATGTTTCTTCTGGTATTTAGCATAAGAAACTTCATTTCTTTAAAATTTCAAGGATATTTTATTATAGATATATAGATATTAAAATATATAGTCTAAATTCGTTTACAATCACAGCATCAGGCAGTATAGTCCTTTGAGTAAATCAGCCATGCATCAAAAACTTTCTAAACACCGTTTTTATCTAAATAGACTATTGTAAATTGTAACCGATGATAAGAACTAAAAGAATGGCAAATAAAAATCTTAATTAAATACCGTTTGTAAGTGTGAGTGAAGATACTCGGCTACAGACGGACAATTTCATACGTTCTGCTGCACACACATATTTGTACGATGGTACTAGGTCGATATAAGTCGGGGTGCAAGTTTGTGCAACGATTTAACATCATTCATTGGTACTCTTCGTCAGAACATTCGTGATCACTATCTTTATAAATCTAACCTCGGATAGCATATCTAAAACCTTATTAAAACATAAAAATAAAAAGAAATCTGATTCTTATTTAAGTAGTAATTCATTTGCGTTAAACCCGACTAAACAGTTCATTATATGAGACTACAAGTATTTGTAGAACTTAATCAAAATCAGTGGCTCTATATGCGTGATTGAGTTCATTGACTTACGCATTCTGTGTTTGTAAACGTAACCATGACAACGGCGAATTTGTTAGATATGCTTTACACTATCAAATTCGATTATAGCGTTCAAATAAACATATTTCAGTTCGATAGTATTAGTAGGCACTTATAAAATAATATAAAAAGAACTAGTTCCATGGTATATCATTTTTATGTTACGACATGGACTGAAACTAAATGATGAATATTTATATACTTAGTACTATAAAAATTCAAACTTTGACAAGATTTTTATTCATTAGATATGTTTTACTCTTTCAGGCAAACTATTAAAATAAAGTAAACATAGAAATTACAAAAGGATTTTACTTCGGAAACGCGGAATAAACCGCTGGCAGATACTCGTAAAATTATAGTTTATTGTTACACTTAAACGGCTATAATTTCTTCCGGATCAGTGAAGATAAATCTAGTAATTACTGGAAAAAACCAGACGGTCATAATGTACATAAGAAAATACAAGTCATTTTATGATAACTAGTCTAGATTTCACTCAGAGCTTATCACTGCCAAGGACGACGTACAAGGTAAAAGAGGTTCTATCTTCGAAATAAGTTGAGCGAAGGATGACTGGTATTTCTGCTTAATTTCTCGCTTGTCATTATTACATACGTCTTACAGCCAAATTAAATAATTGAGATAATTGTGTTTCGTCGTGTGAGTGAGGTTATCGGAGCCCCCCTTCCCCAATCTCCCCAATCCCCGAATCCCCAACCATCCTCAAACTCCTAATCCCTAAAACGCCTCTGGTGTTCCAGGTGTCCATGGATGACGCCGATTGCTTACCATCAGGTGATCCGTTTGCTCCTTTACCGGCTAATGCCATAAAAAAAATTGATCTTTATCCAAAGTCTCTGGATCGCTCCAGTTTTTTGACAGCAATTCAATATGGCTGTTCCCGCACGAAGCAACTCTTTGTGCGTTCCACAAATTGTTGTTTCGGGTCTAGGTGTCATGTGTGTATGACTTTGTATGTTTGTAAATGCGCCTACGACACAGGAGAACATCTAATATGGGGCAACGTTTTTTTAAAGTCAATGTCAAAAAGCCACTTATGTATTTGATGTCATAAATATATTATCATTGATACATGTGATAATGTGACTAACAGAAAGAAAGATGGCATTTACTCAGATGCATACCATAAGTTACAAATAAAAACTTAATTCAAATCTTTTAAAAACAAACATTTATGCAGTTGAGCATTTATAATCATGCAAATTAAACGTGAATAAGGTACTATACAGGTCTTCCAAGCGTACGGCGCGTCGCGTTCCGCGCGCACCTCAAAGAGCCATCAGACCACCACAGATGAGGTCCAATAGGACTGATGTCGATACGGAGCCGCGGAGAACCTAACGGGTTACCGGGGCTCCGGCTCGAAGTGCAGGAGTAGGAACGGGGTGGTTTTTAGTCAGTAAGAGTCTAACACTCCCTCCCGCCTCAGTCAGGCGGGAGAAGGAATTAGACAATTTTCCCCCCTTAAAAAAATCGGTTGTGGATCTGCTTCGAAAATTAGTTGCAAGATTTCACTTCACACGCAAACATTAAAAGTAGGTAATCATTAGAGATGTGCTAAACAATAAATTATTGTAAATTATAGGTAGGTAGGTATCTATCTACCCATTGTCTGTACGCGACCATTTCAAATCGAAATATTAGATTTCATCTCATTACTCTTGTGGTGATAAAATTAGATACCGTTACTTTTTATCTGTGGTTTTCGAACCGGATTGGAACCAAAAATGATTGGTTCGGAAAAATAAATTCACATTGCAATATTATGAGATAACGTGAGGTTCTATTTTTATAGACGCTAATGCGAATTTCTTTCGCAGGCGGATTTTTGTCCCCACACCAAAATGCAACAGAAATGCATCAATACTTAAAATGAAATTTAACATGTACGTATCCATAAAACTGCCAAAAATGTTTCTGTATAAACATATTATAAATTATAATTATAAATAGCTATAGAAAAGTCCTCACGCCACGCTTCGACTTTATACGAGTGTTACTGTCTTACTTTTAAATAAGCCATTGTTTTTCTTTGATAATAACTTTGCCCTTTCTGAAACGGACATACGCCTTAAGGCGTAATTCAGTTCCTGCTCTTAATAATGAACTTTGCAATAAATAAAGAAATAATTAATTAATACTTGATTTTGTTCCTTTATAAACACAGTGTGACCTAGATGAAAAGGATTTTATTTTTATATGTTCAAACAAGATGTTACAGAAACAGTAAATTATGTATATTACCGGTTTAGATCACACTAAATGATATGGCAAAGGTATTATCTTTACTAGTTGAAACTTGTGTCAATTTTGAAATCATGGCAACCAAAACCGAAGATTTTTAATTAAAACTAGCAAACCCGGCGAACTCCGTTTCGCCACCTGATGGCTTCGTTTTATGTAACATTTTGTTTGGTGATTAAAAATGAATTTTCTTTGCTATAAACCTCACGGAGCCCGAGACCTTTGCAACGAATGCAAAACCGTGCAAATCGGTTCGTGCGTTCTGGAGTTATAGCGTCAGGAAGGAAAACTCGACTTATTTTTATATAGTAGATTACGAAAACATAAACAAACATAGGTAGGTTAGGTATCACCAGAACTAATTCATCTGTTCTGCGTCAGTCAACTATTTAATTGCACTTCAGCACACTATTGACACGTTTCTTATTATCGGATTTAAGAAACGTAATAAATCAAATTGCAGCTACACCTCAGTGTAGTAGTTCTTTATCAGTCATACTCTTTGGCACTTGACAATAACAATTCTATATACTGTAGTTGTCATATTTTTTTTTATTCTATTTTATTTTAGGGGCTTTTAACCAATAGGCTACGTCCGTATCGTAACCTAAACCTATCTATCTAACAATTGCTTTTATAATGTAATTTATTGAACAAGAAAACATATGTATATAAATCTACATAACCTATATGAATACACTAAATTTAAACTAATATTAATATTATACATTTAACTCGTCGAGTACCGTATTTATAGACACAATTAAATAATAATAATATAATAATATATCTTTATTTGCTAGAATGTAGGTACATAAGAATAAGATGTTACAATATGTTGTCACGGAACCTTATACATTCGGCCTTGTTGGCATGCAAATATAATTCTTACAATTAGGTTGAAAAAAAATAATAATTTATGGTGTATCATTTAGGAAATCCTGCACAGAGTAATAACATTTATCGACAAGTAATTCTGTAAAACATTTTTTAAATTTCAGAACAGGTAAGTTTTTAATTTGGTCAGGAATTTTGTTGTAAATAATAGGGGCCATACAGATTACACTTTTTTTAGTAGGCTAGTTTTGAATACACCTGTGGATAATAGGTTCTAGGTAAAGAACAATAGGTTGCGGTCATCGGTGACCGCTTGGTGTTTGACAGTTTAAATAACAAAAAGCTAAAATATTCACACCTTAAAATTACTTTATAACTACGACGTTCAGAGTAACGCAATAAAAAAAATAATTTATAAAATGTGTCTAAAAACATTTTAATTTAACTAAAATTTGATAGTTGTCATATTTAAATCTGCCATGGAACTTTTGTTGCCTGTATCCCTGTATGTGACTTATGGCCGTCATAAAATTCAACATTTAATAAATAAAACCCCTGCACCTGACTCAATCGTGACGTCACATCAAACCGGCGATAAAATAAAAATAAGTTTAATATTCACTTTCATTTTTGATCGGTTGCATAACCCTTCATAGGGGCCGATTGAGTGACTGCAGTTCGATCGCGTCTACCACAATTGCAAAGCAGAATTGGGATTCAATTTCTGATATAGTGATTTACACTTGACAATTGACATGGCCATAATTATTTCATCTATAGGTACCTGGGCCAGATATAAGGACGTGTTACATCAATAGTTTGATGAACAAAGCAGGTATATTTGACACTGCACAACGTTTCATTTCGTCGTCCTTTTGTAGATATAAACTGTTCTTTGTCTAACTATTAGCTCAGATCTCTTCAATCATCGTTTCCATTGTAGCCTAATGACTAAAGATACCCTCTACAATTAAGAGTTTCAAAGATTCTTAGCGATCCAGATATCCTCAATGGATTAACTGAATAATGCTTCATGTTTGTAAATGTTAGTAGTAAATAATATTTCATCTTCTAATAACTATAACTAAATAATGATGAAAAAGTGTATGTCTGAAACTTGATTACTTGTAAGGTAAATAAAGCTATCTGAAACAGATTATGTTAAGAACAAATTATAATTTCCAAAATAGCTTACTAGATACAAAAATCGTCCTTTGAACTCAGCATCTTATAAGTTCTGGGCCTTTAGCCAAACGCCACTTTAGCGCTTATCTACAGAGAGAGTAGAAATCAAAATGTATGGGGATGACACTGACAAGTGTCAAAATTTACGTCAATTCCATATAATTTGGTTTTCTACTCTACATGTAGACAAGCGCTAAATGGCATTTGGCTACAGCTGCAGGTTAGAAAACCCAGTCATGAATTACCATTCATTAGTCTTTTACTGCTTTAGTGTGTGGGGCAAAGTCAAAGCCCAAATAACCCAACTAAATCAATACTCCTAGATTTATAAGGCACTATTCAGATCAAAAATATAATGTGATCGTTTGTCAGGGATAAGAATGTGCACTTAAAACAGTTACAATTGTGTTTTATACAAGACACAACACGATTATCAAAATGGGTCATCTTTGCTAGGATCACATGATCTATTTCACACTGTATCAGTACTTATACTAGTGTTTAGATGCTCTACTAGGTACTATTAGAGCGCATAGCGTGTACTACGAATGGTTCTTGTCAAAAACACACCACGGCCATTTGTTTCGTACACAGACATATTCCTACGGAGACACACGCTCTGAATCTAAAATAGATCATCATATTCAAGCATTGTCAGGTTTAAAAGATAAACTCGTTTTGAAGTCTCTTAAATACAGTCTCTTCAGCCTGCAAACAACCAATTTTTTTTAAACAACCCCTGCATCCATATTACTGCTGCATGTAAAATGTTTAAGGTTGTACAAACCGAATGGTTTTACAAATAAACAGAATAACTATTTATCGCTTTTTTTCTTACTGGACGGTATTTAAATATATGTCTGATTAGCTGTTGCCCACAACGTCGTCCGCGTAGAATATGAATTTTAGAACATAACTTCTTTTTTGTTTCAATTTTCCAAAATAAAAATAGCTAATGTTATTTCCTTTTTTTTCTTTTAAAAAAACATTGCCCCACACTAGGATTTTCTCCTGTGTCGTGGGTGCATTTACAAACATACAATATCACATACACATGACACCCAGACTCGTACGGGAATCGAACCTGCGACACGTTGCGCGGCAGCCAGTTGCCCAGCCACAGCGCCAACCGTGCAGTTATTCCTTAGTAAATTAGCACCCTGCTAATCTTGCAAAATCGGCCCATCTATTCCAGAGATTAGCCGGTACAAACAGACAGATTGACATTGATTATTTTGGTATATGTATCGCATATAAATATACATTATTTATATGCAAGTATATAGTAAAAAGCGGTTGTTTTAATATTAGGTACAAATAGACACTCTATTTTTTTATCTGTACGTACCTATGTATATTATGAACGTCAGAGCACTATGTCATAAATGTTTAGTGTCCACGAGCTAAATAATTTCATGAAACTAATTAGCTTTCTTAACAAAAGAGGTAATTATACAACGAATGCTAAAAGAGTAATAAAACGTTTGTTTTAATTGGTATACAAGTTTCGTAAACAAAGCAATCTTGTAACTTTAGACACTAATGATAGACAATTAACTACACATTTAAGTGCTAACTACACATTTTACCTCGTTTAACTTTTTTCTCTAGAACTTATATTGGCGCCGTATTTGCGGACAAAAGCATTTGTTTCAATTAAACCATAATTTGGTATTTTAAAAAGGGCAACAAATAAATAATAATGTAAGTTCGCCAAAGATGACCCGCTTTCTGAAAAAATATGCAGTTATGATTACTTTTTTCGATATCTCGATAGTCAAATAAATACATTACAACCTCCAATATGTTTCTTCTCTACTTTATTTATCTACAAGATTATACAAGGCTTGAAATAAGGTGATAATAAGGAGGTAATAAGGCCCTATTAGGCGACTGTACCTTAGTCTATCAGTCTGTCCGTCAGTGAAGCTAAGTCCTAATTCCAAAATGCGCTCAAAACCCTCTTCCTGATGTAGCACCATGACCAATAATTTTAATTGCCTTGTTAATCTTGTGGTCGCAGTCTACAATTCCTGGTTCAGACAGAGCAACATTGCACTTTTTAATTTAAGGAAATGGTAATAGGACTCTACGTCTAGCATAGAGATGGTAATAGGCTAACCACTACCTACAACTCAGAACTGTGTGTTCAAATAAAAATGTGCAGCTGTGTTTATGTGTTTACACCCTTAAGAATGAGAATGACTGTCCCATTCGATGCCTAAATCGAGTGACCATACGTTTAAAATAAATATTTGAAATAAAATTTTAATTAACGCTATTGTTGTTTTCCAGCAATCCTGTCGCTGTACCTGCGAGATAAGCTGGGCTACAGCGACAATGGAGCCACAGTCATCTACCACGTGTTCACTATGTTCGCGTACTTCTTTCCCCTCATTGGCGCCATGATAGCCGACGGCTGGCTGGGGAGATTTAGGCAAGTATTGTACATCTATATAATTAAACGAACGATGGTCTTAATATTTTCAATTAGTATGAGGATATAAATAACAAACCCGAGCAAAAATGATAGGCTTTTACAATTTTATTTTAATCGTTTTTGTCTACGTGTTATTCATTCGGCCTTGAGCGATTACAACTATCATTACTTAAATCAATCATTTAATTCCTTAATTTTTTGAAAGTAGAACTTGTTTTTTACCAACACTTGTCAGCGTTTCTCGAGAGCGTTGCATTCCACACCCTGTATAGTCTTTGCGTCTTTCCGAAATTGCTATTTTTTTTTTTTTTCAATGTAAAAAATAATAAGTTTGCGTAGTTGACAACAACTTGTGTCTGCTTCAATTTGATAATGCCACAGAGTCAAGTAGTTCTGTTAACAACCCTCAAATGTTTAATGGTATTTGAACCTTATGTAAGTACAATTTAAGTTGGGTTTTACAATATACAACGTTAAAGCTCTAATTTTACTGTATGTGTTGATAATGGTCAATAATTATTACGGATTTTAAAATAAATGAGATCTACAGTTGTATTAGAGTCAAGCAACACTTCCGCGGGGAGTTCCCAGATTTGTAAAACCAGCGCTTACGACACTCAACTGACTTAGTAGGTAAGCTTTTAAGTAAGAACTGGGCTAACTACATTCACTCGTAATTCTAGCTTAGATAAAATAAAGGTGTAAAAATATACTTAGAACATGCTTAAATACCTGCTACTTAGTAGTTAAGTAATCTGAAAGGTTACTGATATTTCGAATTTAAATTACTGCTAATTTGACTATGTCACACGTCTTCTTTGACTTCTGTTTCGACAAATTGTGCCCTAAAGCAAGGTAAAAACATATTATGCAATAGTAAATTGGTTAACTTGAGCTAGAAGTTATGTAGCGACATCGGACCACGACATCTGTATTTCGGTTACCTACACAAAAACATGCAAGGTCTTTTTCTGTTAGCTATTTTACACTAAACATTCTCCCTAAAAATAACGACGTTAAATAGATTCCGTAAATGACTTATTGAATCTTCAAGTTTATTAGTTACGTAGATTAATAAAGATTTTTGTTACAGGACTATATTATATTTATCGTTAGTTTATGCAGCTGGAAGCACGTTGATATCCATCAGTGCAATGCCACAACTAAACCTGCCTACCATGTAAGTATTATTTATTTATACTAGTAAAAGCCTACGAATGTTCCAAAAATAGACTAGAACTCCTTAACCCTTCGAGCGTCCTTATGAGCACCCGGTGGATCATAAGAAAAAATACTCCAAATGTCACGTGTGCACCCGTTGGATCATAAGCAACGCGGACACTCGACGGATTAATAAATAAACGTATTTCACTTTAAAGTCATCTAAAAAGTTTATCTTTATAACAGACATATATAATTAATTATATTTGTGTCTCCGAAAAGACCTCTTACTTCATAGCCATACCACGTAATTTCATATCAACAAAATATTTGTATAAATTTGCTAGTGCAAAACTCATTCAAATCAATAACTGTCCCAATTGACATCGGACAATGGTGAGTTAAATTACTATGTTCATGTCATTATCACATCAATGGATTTGCCGTTCCTGCATAATTGGATTTCATTTTAATTAAATGGATGTCAGTAATAGAGGTTCGCGTGTTAAAATTGCAGTCTATTTTGCCGCATGTTACATGGGATCGTAAAATAAATGAATACGTACCTAGATAACATAATTATGAATAAATAATTATATACCACTTAAAATATACTAAAACTACAACAGTGAAAGAAAAGAGATAAAAAATCTAAAAAAAAGGTTTTAAGTTAATTATTATGATTGTGGAACTTACGTAAAGGAAGCATAAACGAATAAAAACTTAATATAAGACAGACTTTATTTAAACAACGCTCAACCTGCCGCTTCCTTGTATTTAGCTATCTAAGCGAGAATCAGTTTTCTTTTTGCATTCCATCTAGATGCAAGCAAGAGATTAAATGTGTATAATTTCTTTCAGGGAATTTACCATCGTAGCTCTTCTCCTAATAGCCTTCGGTACAGGAGGCATTAAACCCTGCGTCTCCGCTTTCGGTGGAGACCAGTTCAAGTTGCCAGAACAAGAGAGATACTTGGGCTACTTCTTCTCTCTCTTTTATTTCGCCATTAATGCTGGCAGTCTTATATCAACCTTTTTAACTCCCATCTTAAGAGCTGACGTCCACTGTTTTGGAGACAACGACTGTTATTCACTTGCCTTCGGTGTTCCAGGGATACTCATGGTCGTTTCTATTGGTAAGATCACTATAATGGTTACTTGCTTACATTTGCAAAATACTTAAACTTATGCTTAAGAGTGTTAAGTTAAGTAGACAGTTCCGGTATGGGGGTATATACCTACTAAGATCACTCAGTATGAAATTGTATTGTTAAGTCTTTGTTTTCCAATAGAAAACTTTTGAAAGAAAATCTTCTGCTAACGTCAGTCACCGGTGTTCCTCATAGTGTTTAATGTGTTGAACTGTATTATCAAACTTTAGTCAAAAGTTTGTCTTCGTATCTAGTGATCCTGATAAAAGTATCTTTAAGTATATTACTTATGTAATTTAGTACCTATATTACAAATATTCAATTATATCACTTTCATAAACATATTTGCACCCTTCTCTTTTTAATCTCTGGTTATTAGATGAGACCCTTCGTCTCAGTAAGTGGAGCGTTAGCTGCAGATATTGACTATTGTTTTATTTGCAGTTTTCTTCGTGGCCGGTAAGAGGCTCTACATAATAAAGAAGCCCGCAGGAAATGTGCTCGGAAAAGTCTCCACTTGCATTGGCGTAAGTAATTTTCGTGTATTTTTCTATACTAATATTATAACTTTTTTTTAAAAAGCATATATACGGTCAAATTGAGAACCTCCTCCTCCTTTTTTTGAAGTCGGTTAATAAGGAAGTAATATTAAAAAAATTCTGCGTGAGGCAGGAGGGAGTGTCAGACTCTTGACTGACTGACTAAAAACCACCCTGTTCATACTCGACGCCCTTTGAACCGGAGCCCCGGCAACCCGTTAAGTCCTCCGCAGCACATTAATATTATAACTACCGCAGCGATTTGATTTTTTTTTAACGTAACGATTTTCTTCCGAAAACCATTGCTAAGGACTGAGTTAAGTAACCATTAGACGATTCTGAGAGCGGCGATTAGTCTGTTACCTTGAGATACGAGGCAAAAACTGATTGTCTTTGCAAATTCAAAGTAGTCCAAAGCATCGGTTGGAAAAGCATCTGTGTATTGGAATCATTAAGATAATGTCTGATCACCTTCCGCGGGCTTCGTACATAAATACATACTAAATCGCCCGTTTCATATAACAATACATAAAAAAGTTGAACTATAGAGAATAATAATCAAGTTAACAAAACAGCGTTGTAGGTATGTTATAGGCATAACATTAAGATCTGAATGATATCCAGACGGTATTTTATTACATAGAAATCACTGCTCACTGTTTTAAACAGTTTTAAACCGCTAACTTTTACAACGACAGTTCGGTTGACCAACGACTGCTAAATATAAAAATTGCTTCACCGTTTACCTAAATTATGTAAAATAATCTAGATTCGGACGGCATAGTCCTAAATTAGAGAATAACCTCATTTTCCCAACAAAGCAACTTGATGTAACATGTAGTTAAAGTGTGAATAGTGAACCAGATTTATTTAATGACTTTGTCATTTAGCGTTGTTTAGAAACTCACGCGACTGTGGTCATGTTTTGTATATGCAGCACTTCAACATATTCTATCTATCTGTTGGAGTAAGTTAAATGGAATATTCGTCCTTAATTCCTTAAAAATAAAATTGAAAATCTACTATAGTTTAACATATCATAGTGTAGGTGGATCTGATGGTGTCTATAAACATTAAATATTTAGCCACAAAAACTATAATATTACGTAAAAGTACTTCTCAGGTTTGTTTATTAGCTACATCCTCACACTTTTGGGGAAGTGGTCATGGTCAAATCAAAACGGATCGTATGTTTTATAGCTGTGGCCATTTTCCGACATTGCAGCCTTCTTTATGCATTTGAACGGAACATGGAAAGCAGTTTAGATTTTACCAATAACAGTTCTACAATCTTACTTAAAACTGGAAAACATTGACGTATTTTCATTGTAATCGACGTATTTTTACTTTTCGACTATGATAACAAAACTCTTCAGAATGTTCAAGATAAAACCAAACGTGAGATAGTAATGAAATCGTGGAAAACTAACACTTGAGATCGATTTATCTGATAATAATTTCTTTGTAGCACATGGCCAACTATTGACCTTAAAGTAATTGGAAATAAGTAGCCACCGACCTGAATAAATGTCTAGATACTTGTCAGCTGAAGAAGCCACGAAGGGAATCTTGTTTTTAAATAGCTATTTCTGTGACTAGATCTTCAATATACTTATCTATTTGTTAAAACATTTTAATCTGTTGAGAATGCGACGTTAAAGAAGGTATTCATAAAATAATGTAATTGTTAAAATTTTCACTTTATTTACGTAACACAGAACTCAGAATATAGATACGCCATAGTTAGGACACTTTTAATAAAACAGTTAAGAGAATATGCATATCAAATTTTAACATTTCTATTATACTTTGACAAAAGCGTTAAAATTTCTCAAGCCGCATTCATTTGTGCCAACTTACTTACCAGATTTCGAGACCCCACCATAGCTAAAGAAGCGGTTATCTATATTCTGTAGATCACCATTGTCACGGTACTTTTAATAAGAAGAAAAACACAAGTTTAATTTAAATCTTATCTTATGCTTTTATACCATTATTAGCTGAAAAGTTTGTTGAGATGTTATAGCTTTCGTGATACATTCTTATTTAATTATTATGTTTTTCAAGCATTCCGCGACCCGGGACGCGGCGTCTATCGCGCTGGAATGCTGTTCTGTTTCGTTTGAAAAAATATTTTTGTGTTGGATCGTGCATTTATCAAGGAAGGCTATATAAGTAACATTATGATCAATAGAATTCGAGCAGAGCGGGTAAAACTAGTACCTAGTTGTAAAAAATAACAATGGAAGTCTACTTCCCAAAATTATAACATTCCTATTTTGTTTTAATGTTGTTGCACTACAACGCATTCGTATTTGCATAAAACATTTCACACTGCCTGTGATTAATGTGGTCAATTTGTTAATTACTCTGTTTTGTGCATGCTACCTACCTACGAAGTAATAGGCGGACACTGGCGCTGTACTATGTCACAAAAAGTAAGCGGGTTTCTATAAGATTGGATGTTTGGGAGAGCCATGCTTCGGCACGAATGGGCCGGCTCGACCGGATTAATATCACGACCTCACAGAAAACCAACATGAAACAACTGTGAGTGAGTTTACCGGAGACTCAATTACCCCCATCCCCAGTCTCCCCAATCACCGAATGCCCCACAATCTTCAAATTCCCCAATTCCAAAAACGCACGTAAACCACTTGTAACGCCTCTGGTGTTTCAGGTATCCATGGGTGGCGCCCGTTGCTTATCCGTCTGTTCGTTTACCGACTTATTCCATAAACAAAGGATGTTTTGGTTTTGATCAGAAACACAATATCTACCAATTAAGAATCTTTGAATATTTTTGGAATAACTTGTAAATCCATTATGATGTTGGTCACCAATTGTTAGATTAATTAACTAAAATGAAAAGGGTTACTTACTTTTAGATCCCTTTAAAGTCTTTACTGAAGTGAATAAACTACTTGGTTATGATATCTATTTTTCAAAGTATTGCATAATTAATACTGTCAGCAGTGTGTTAATCAAATCGACTTAAAGTTTCGAGGAATAAGACGAATACCTGAATGTAACAACATTTGTTCCATCTACATTTCATATATTGTACCATACACGATCAATAATAGCCCACGGTAACATAATTACCTATAGTGACTGTCGTCCAGTACACATATGGCATATGTACTGTTGTATGCGTGTGTAATCACAATCGCAATGCAAATTAATTTCAACACTGTTCTCAGCTCAGTGGACCCAAAGAGCTGATTTAATTAACTGCCACTCAATCCCAACCAAATAATTATTAATATTAGTTATTTGTGTAAAGTGCAACTCAGTACTTTAGTTATGAACTAAGATTTAACTGTATGGCAACTAGTGGCTACTTTTTTACTTTTGTAAGAAAGTTGCCGTTGGCAGACGCAGCACAGGTGTCATTCATTCAGATGAACCCATTTTTAGTACCCCAAACATTATTACAACGCTAAATTAATAAACCATTTTGAAAATGTGAGCACACGAATGTGTTTTGGTTATATAGATGAGTATCGATATTAGACTTATCTATATTGATCGATATTATATTGTAAAGTAATATCAATTTTAAAAACCTACCGATTTACTTAACACGTATACTAATTTATCAATCTAGTTTTTTTTCTACGACATCGAATCTGCAATAGTATAATTGTCATAGATGCCAATCTGGGACTATTTCAGAAGTTTCTAAGGTTATAATGGTGACTATTTTTTTCTTCACAGCATGCAGTGGTAAAGTCGTGCAAGAGTAAAGAGAAACGCGAGCACTGGCTAGACCACGCTGATGATAAATATGACTCCAACTTAATAGAAGATGTGAAGGCCCTACTCCGAGTGCTAGTGCTCTTCATACCACTGCCAGTCTTCTGGGCACTGTTTGATCAACAGGTAAGACAAGACAGGTGTTTCCAGATATACAAATATACCTCGGATATGGCATGTTGTGTATTTTTGAAGTCTCATAAAAGTTCTTGTGCAACAAGAAAGTACAACCACCATAAATTTTCATTGAAAATCACTGGTAGGATAAAATTGTTTTTAACTCGTCGAGTACCGGTTTTATAGACACAATTAAAGAACAATAGGTCGCGGTCACCGGTGACCGCTTGGTGTTTGACAGATTAATAATGTATGTATTTTGTCTTTTTAATCACAGGGTTCCAGATGGACCTTCCAGGCAGACAGAATGGAACAAGACATTGGTTCCTGGACTCTAAAAGCTGATCAAATGCAAGTGCTTAACCCTCTGCTCATTTTAATATTTATTCCTATTTTTGAAGTGGTAAGTAACTATTTAATAAAAGTGACATAGGCGACAGGTATGGGACTAGAGTCACTAAAGTTGTGATACTTTCAGGCTATCTATCCTTTCTTGACGTGGTGTAAGCTCGTAAGGAAACCTTTACACAAAATGATTTGGGGCGGCATCCTAGCCGCATGTGCCTTTATTATCTCTGGCATCGTTGAACTTAATTTACTGGTAAGTTCCACAGTGACCTTTAAACCACATTGTGACTAAAACACCTGAAATACCATGAAAGTGGTCAGTACAGACTATGGAAGAACATTTTCAGTTACCTCTAATAAATTACATGTAGATTTTCAATTTACAAAATTTCTATTTTTCATGTAACGTGCCAAAGAACGTGAACATTATGTTACCACATTCACAATTTTGTAAATCAGTGTTCCGCATTAATCAAGGAACGTACATGTTCCGGAGTTAATAAATGTCACATTCAGTCATTCGATTTCGGATCGATGTTGTACAATGACGGGGTGCTGACGTGTGACCAAATCTACCACATCTACACCTATCTTGACCACACGTTGATTGGCCTTTGTAGCTTACTATTGGCATGGATTTGAAATAAATTGCTGGAAATGGCGTTTGACTGGAACTGACTTGAAATTTGACAAAATTCATTATTAGGAGAAGTAAATTGGTGGTTTAATCTCAGTAGTACGGCAAGAGATCAATAATAATAGTATTTACCAATGTGGTATCCTCTAGCACTATTAACAGAATTATGTTGCAAAATAAAAATGATTGTTGTTTATTTATAGCCGACATACGGTACACCGGTCTCAGAAGGTTTGGCTCAGTTGAGGGTGTACAACGGATATAATTGCAACTTCACTCTTAACACTGCAAACCTCAATACACTCGAAGACAACGCAACCAGGAACTTTGAAATCGGCCCTCTTTCGGCGTACGAGAATCTACATATATTCGCTGATGACTTTGTGGACCTCCCTTATTATTTACAAGGAGAACCTGCCACAGAGTGCGCGGGTATAGCATTCAGTGGATACTTTAACCTAAAGGAGAAAACTGCGAATTCGTTTTTTATTAAAAAAGACGGACTATATAATTTCACTGATAATAACGATAAAGCAATCGATGGAGTAAATGTTAGGTAAGTTACAATAGGATAGACGACTAATTTTTATTTTAATGTCCGTCTGGTAGATTATTTAAAAACATTAGACACGTATTTTTTATTTTCTTACGGAAACAAATAGTTTCGAAGATATATTGATTTGAAATGTCGCGTGACGTCACTTCTCAGTACATTTTATACTGAGAAATGACGTTTTAGCCCCCACTCCTAAACTTTGATTCGTTTTATCTAAGTATTGTTTTATTATACGACAATATAAAAAAATACGTGTCCTATATTTTTTAATTACCTAACATACGGACTAATTAGATTTTTAATTTTCATACCCTGTCATCATCCCCATTAATCTTAATACTACAGCTCATCATGTTTTGGTTTACAATGGTGGTTCTGATAAAATCGATCATATATGTGATTCCAGAAACGATATATTAGTGTTTCTGCTCTAAAATCAATTGTATTAAATGTTTTTCTTATCAATAAAACATTACTACCATCTACACTCATCGGCGGCCATGTTGTATTGCCGGTATAGTTTGCCGGGGTGGGATCACCATACTTTGCAAAGTTTGCCCATAACACTGACATTTCTTTTATAACTGTTTTGTCAGTATTGACGTCATGTCTAGTCATTTTTACATAATCTTCCCAAAGTGGTTCACATTTAAGTACGTAACATATTTCGTCGCCAGTCGCAACACCTTTTATTCTTGCATTAGACACCCCTAGCGAAGTTGCCTTAACAGCGTTGAGCGAACCTCTGTAGTCGAACTTGTACATAAATATCTTCTTGGTGTTTGCTTTAATTAGCTTCAAGTAAATATTAATGAATTTAATAATGGGGTATTTAATAAGATCAGATGTGTATCTCAAAAAGTGTTCGAGGGATTGTTCTGTAATACCTCCTTTGAAGTACCTATCCTTTATTTCTTCTGATACACGCATATACTCTCGCGATGTAGTGTTGTAACTGCATCCGTCATGGAATGGAACCATATACTTAAAAAACTTTCGAAATAGTCTCAAATAATATGGGTTGTGTATAAACGGTATAACTTCTGATATACTTTCTTGAGTATTGAAACCCATTAACAAAGGTTTAATCTTTTTCCGTTTCATAATATCAAAAAAATCTTTTGGCGATTCAGTTAATAAACTAGATTTAGATTTTGGTTCAAGTATCGGAGTAAACGGCACTACAGGTCTTTGAAAGTTTTCGACTTCTGAACGAGTATATATCCTTTGTGAGGCGTCAACAACGTCTTTAGTTAATGCCTTACTTAATATTACGCCTTTCTTCTTAAGTTCTTGTTTAAGTCTTTTTCTTTCCAACTTGTGGTCTCCTTGTAATATTGAAGCAGAATATAATGTTCCACTTTGTAAAATAATTTTGGAAAATAGTTTACTAGCTTCTGTAAGTAAGAGTAATGATATGAACGTAGCAGCCGAGTTACTCCCCATTAGAGTAATGTTGTCTTTATCACCACCAAACTGCTTGATGTTCTTTCTGATCCATTTCAACGCCAAGACTATGTCCTTGAGTCCCATGTTAGCATGTGAATCATCGTCGTTGATTTTTAGAAACCCAAACACACCTACTCTATGAGTGATAGTAACTAGAACAACATCATTATCAATCAAAAAGTCTGCTCCATGAATGTGGCTAAAAGATGAAGTAAAAGCGTATCCATGAAGCCAAACAATGACAGGCTTGAGGACTGCATCTTCAGTTTTAGGAATTACAGGCGTGTAAATGTTTAGATATAGACAGTCTTCAGTCCCAAACAGTCCGTGTTTGTGAACAATGTGCGCTTGAGCACATGCTCCGTGGAATTCTGTACTTGCGTCATAAATTTCTGCCCATTTTGCTTCAGGCTGGGGATCTTTGAATCTTAGCTTGCCAAGAGGTGGCTTAGCGTATGGAACTCCATAAAATACAAAGTAAAGTCTCTTATCAAAAACTGTGGCCTCTCTGTGCCCTATCAGCTTTCCCTGTTTAACCGTCACTTCAATTTTATACGATAATATTCTTGAAAATAACACAAAAAACACGTACACTTCCCGATACATTATTCATTTTTTATTTTCGAGCCTATTTTTACGTTATTTACAAAGTTGGTTATCGAATAGCAGAATTAAATTCACTCAAGTGGCAAATGTTTACATAAGCAGGAATACTAGTAATACATGGCCACGTAAAACATAACGATTATGAAATAAAGTGAAAATAAATAACGCTTAATTAACACTAGACACCTACACTGTTTTAAAGATGTCATTAAATCGTCTCTAGTTATGTATCAAGCGATGACAGTCGCGACCTAAATCGACATTACTCTCCTACTTCTAGCACTGTCGCCTACGTTGCAGGAATTAATTGGTATTCAGGCATTGCTAGTCAACCTGTAACCAATTTCTTAAAAACATGAACGTGTCTATGATTTATTGACTGTGATTAGGAAAATGCTTAGTTGAAATAAATCATAATAAAGGTACAGTATGATTAAAAGTAATCCTACTTTATGTTTTTAGATTTTTGGCAAACCTGAACAGCGTCGTAGATATAAGTATAGAAAGTGATAAGAAGAATAGATCGTTACTAAGTATTCAGAGTAACGATACGTCACAGAAGTCGATTGCTAAAGGAGTGAGCAACGTTACTGTGGGAGGATTTGTTGTTTTAAGCGACTTCAACTTTAAATCTGGAGCTGTTTACACCATAAATGTCTATGAAGACAGTGCTGGGGTTTACGTAAGTACAATACCTATTATACAACCATAATTGTAGTAGCTCAGTAGTCATAAGTGGGATTCCTTATCGCAATTCTGATCGGTAAGAAATTGTCATTATTAAAATGACCCTAAAGGACCTCACTATCTTACATAACTGATGAAAATGGAATCTATAGTATAAATGTATAACTGTACTATACTAGTACTCCTTATGTCACTTCTGTTGTATTAGGTATAGTAGGTCATTGTCCTTACAACCTGAACACGGTGATATTATCAATCCAAACGGTACTTCCAGCTACTATGAACGAGACAGCTGATTAAAAATAACATAGACAGCTAATATATTGATATAAGCACGGACCTATAAAAACTTCACTTCTTTTACAGAATGCAAACGCGGTGATGATAACCCCATCGAACAGCATCCATATCCTTTGGCTGATACCTCAGTATGTGGTGATGACGATGGGAGAGGTGATGTTTTCAGTTACCGGCCTCGAGTTCTCCTTTACCCAGGCTCCAGCCAGCATGAAATCTGTGCTGCAATCCGTCTGGCTACTCACAGTAGCCTTCGGAAACCTAATTGTTGTGCTCATCGTCGAAGGAAACTTTTTGGATGCACAGGTGAGGTTTAATACCTGCTAGTATGATGAGATCTTAGGCGTAGATGGTGAGGCATAGATTTACATTCAGTCCAAGAAAAAAGAAACAACTAGAATGGCGACTGTGCTCGATATTTTGTCATGATATTTGAATCATAATCTAGGATCACGATATTTATCGAGCCTGTAAGTATAGCGTAATAGTAATAATTATATTATAATTAAATATTACTTGATAAATATCACGCTAAGTATCGCGATACATATCCAGCGTGTAGCATTGCGCGCCGCCCATTGTGAATCTCTAGTTTCACTGTTAGGATTTTTAACACGTTTACTGGTAACCAAAGTTTACATAGGATTTACCTTCAACGGTTTTATGTCCGGCAACGTTTTAAAATTTTTGTTCTTATTTGCAGTGGAAAGAATTTTTCTTGTTCGCCGGCCTGATGTTGATAGACATGCTCATCTTCACAACGATGGCATTCAGATACAAATACAAGGAACTCAGTTCTAGCGACGAAAACCTTGCGATTGAGGAAATCAAGTTGCCAGAGAAGACTTCACAAGACAAATACGAAAAGAACTAATTGTTACATAATTATTATTATTAAACACTAAGTAATTAAAGTTTTTATTATTATTGATTATGAGTTTTGTTTAATTTATTTGATTATCACATTATTAGGAGAAGAACCAGAAAAGGCAAGAATCTCATCCTCATGGAAAAAGTACGATCCTAGGATCCTAGGATCACGTGTCCACACGTCCACATACAAATAATTCTATTTTATGTGGACACGATGATCCTGTTCACACATGCTCTGAATCTCCAAAAACTGTATTACTAATATAGCTGTAATACAGCTATAATCAGCCAAATTAATCCCAGATTACATTTCTTCAATGACATCACCATATTCAATAAGTAGGTATCTAAAAAAGCAACAGAAGCATACAAATACAAAACGACACATGGCTGCATAAATAAAACACGCAAGTCTCAAGCCCGTAAATTGCTAAGGTAACAATATTGGAATAGTGCACAGTGAGACGTTGAAAGGTATCATAATTCTGCTGAGACAGCAAGAAAGAGTCCGCGATACCATTTAATTTTACATACAGTGTCGTGCAATCAATAATCTGATGTCAGTCCGTTAATCATAAAGATACCTGCAAGACGTTGGACAGACGTGTCAGACTTCTTTTGTAAAGAGTTAAACAAGGGACGTTTTACAATGGGTCTGCCGCCAGACGATGTTCCGGTCAAAAATACTGATGACACGAAAAACATGTGAGTTTATTTGGCTTTAACTATTTCATCACCAAATTATTCTATCACCTTTTACAATCAATTGGGAATATATAATAATTATCGCATTTAACAAATGCTTACATACCTATGCTTTAATTTGCACATGCTCTAATAGAGGTATCATATTTTACTTTAACTTGAATCAAATTCGAACATCCAAATTGTAAACGTTGGTTAAAAAGTTACCCAATTTACCGGTGTTTTGGTCGACACTAAAATTGCAACAGCATTCAGTTACCTATCTAGTGTCAAAATGTAAATAACTATACAAACATCGTTTTAGTGATTTACTTAATTTACATCACGCCTGTTTTCTTAAAAGAAGTAGACAGACAGGTGTACAATGTCGCACGTGTCATAAGTACTTATGACATTTTAATAGTGATATTAATTACTGATTATGAGTTATGAATGAATACCTACATAATTATAAGCGTTAATAGAAAAGAAAGATCTGATAAATCTCAAAATTATTGATCTGTCTTAGTGGTGTAACCAAAAAGCGTGTTTAGTACTTAAATAGTCCCTACCTACATACTTAGAACAAGACGGTCAGAAATTTTTAACATTAATGATTAAGGAAAAGTGTTCAGCTAACTTAAACAACTTACAACTGATACCTACTTAGGTAATTGATGTTCCATGTCTGAGCCCGATCAATAGAAAATGCAGTCTGGCTCCTTGAATATTTTATACATTTGTGGAACGTTAGCATAATCATAGAGTTGCACAATGCCGTGCTTTACATTGCATCATTATTGGTATTTGAACGGTTAACAGACGTGTAATTTTCATACAATACGTAGTTTTACCCGTACTTAAATAATGTCTATTTTTAAATAACATAGCATTTTGATTGCAATTTCTATTTTTAAATAACATAGAATCACGCAATGTTTAGAAGTGATTAATACTGAGATAAGTAGGTAAATATTTATAAATGAATAAATATTTTTCATTCATATAGAATGCTTAGTTTCTAGTTCGATTCTCGGGTTAGTCAAGTGGCAATAGGCGTTATTGGTGTTATTATCGGTGTAAAATAAGGGATTCGCATTCATAAAGAACTTTTTAAGAAGCGAAAAATGTTACACTGAAGATGGGTAGTTGATTAAACTATTTACGGTTTCAGTACTTATCTATAAATAAACTGCCTTGTTGATTGTTTATCTCGTTGGCCGAGTGGTCGCAAGTGCTACTGTCTCGGGTCGATTCGCAGGTCGGGCAATGTATTACTGGTATTTTTTTAAGATATCAACACGGCTTCTGGAATTGTGCCCGGTATTATAAGCAATAGGCTCACCCGTATTACATGGGACTCATAACAAAAATAGTGAAAAGTGGGTATTACATTGTCCTACAGTGGCATTAAGCACCGTAATCTGTACCTCTGCCTTCCCCTTCGGTATAAAAAGCGTTATGTTACCTATAGATAAAAGCATTTTATAGGTAAAAAAATTCTCTCGAACGCGTTTTCTATCGATACTTAGCATGAAACTTACATTAATGTTACCTTTACCTTAGTCTACACTACCAGTTTTTGTCAAAAACCTTGTTCATGCAAAAAACCATAATGTTTTCAATTCTTTTTAGTACTCCCGTACTCACCTCAACGACCCTACATGCCAGAACTCGCTTGCTACGAGTAGTTTCAGTTGTGTTACTGTGTTCCATCACACAATGTCAGTCACTATTCACTAGACGGTCACTCAATCACCAGTAACTGTAGCACTCTAGTGTTACGTGTACACTTACCTGTATTAGTCACTTTAACCGCAACAGAACCTTTATATGTATTATGTATGTCCAAGTGTAATCTATATTTACTGCACGGTTGGTGCGGTGGCTGGGCAACCGGCTGCCGTGCAACGTGTCGCGGGTTCGACTCCCGCACGGAACAACACTTTGTGTGATCCACAAATTGTTGTTTCGGATCTGGGTGTCATGTGTATGTGAACTTGTATGTTTGTAAACGCACCCACGACACAGGAGATAATCCTAGTGTGGGGCAATGTATTTTAAAAGAAAAAAAAAATATATGTATATATAAAAATGAAACCCATTTCCCGTTGCCACGCCATATCTTGAGAAAGGCTAGGAGAAAATTCTTATAACCTAAAAAAATCCTGAAAATCCTACGAGAACGGGAGAAAACAGGATAGCGCGTACGAAGTCGTGGGCAGAAGCTAGTACTTAAAAAATTTAAAAAGCTAATAACACGCTTTAAATCATACAGTACCATAACCAAACTCGATATGTGTTCTAGCAGGCAGTCCAGAGTCTTAACAGACACCTTTTAATTCCATTATAAAACCAGTTCGATTGCATTGTAATATTGTATGGTCATCTAATTCACATGTAACTGTTCATATCGAATTTTCGAGTACCTATGGGAGAGCCATGCTTCGGCACGAATGGGCCGGTTCGACCGGAGTGATACCACGGCCTCACAGAAAACCGAAGTGAAACAACGCTTGCGTTGTGTTTCGTCATGTGAGTTCATTCTCATTTTTCCTTCTTATTTTGAACCGTTTAAGTGGTCAGGTTCGAAGTCAAATTATTAAATTAACTTTACTCTTTGTTTCACTTTGAAATTTCTAATAACAGAATCAATTTTCTAAAAGCTTATTGAATAGAAATTTACTCAAAGTTATGAAATGAAATGAAATTATGAAATGTTTCGTTTGTTGTATTAAATTCAGGGAAACCCTGTCAATGTGGTAATGTAACGTTCCTTTAGTGTAAAATTATTACATTAACTTTTACCTTATTGTTTATTTAGTGAAATTGTCTCACATATTTCCTCATTTACATACAATAAGTACCTATGTGGCTATATCCTTAAACTGTGACCAGCTATCGGGTTACGGGTAGCAGCATTCAATAAACGATAACTTAACTGTAATCCTCAAACTGAGGTGTCTAATGTAGGGAGAGTTATTGGCAAACCTCTCAAGACGGAGGTCTTTGTTCAGCGGTGACAATAGACACCATCGTAACTACCTACAGCCTACAGGTACTACTACCTACAGGTTCCCTCTTTACTTTATAGAAATTGACAAGATGTATTATAATAAAAAAAATTGTATGACAAGGGCACGGACCTAGAGTCCGTGGAGAATTCATCTATAACATTATAAAAAAACTACCTACAGCAAGATAAAGACTAGACAAGAAGTAGATACTTATAATTACATAGTATAGTCCCTTACTTAAAGAAAGTACTTGTTAACAAGAGAATATTTCTCACCTTCATCCCCGAAGGGATAGGCAGAGGTGAACATACTGAAATGTTCGTACTGCCAATGTATATAATTTATATAAATAAAAATGAATTTCCGTTCGTGAGTCTCGCTGAAACTCGAGAACGGCTAAACCGTTTGGTCATGAAATGTCCATTGAAGTCCAGGGAAGGTTTAAAAGGCGAGACATTTTTTTTGATGGAACTAGGTTTGCCGAGTCGGCTAGTGTTTTATAAAATAATCATATTGTCACGTCAATCAGATCATCCATGCGAGTTTACGCCGGTTTGGTTTCACCATTTATGTTATGAGTTCCATGGAATAGGAGGTGAGACTGTTGCCATATGGGCACAATTCCAGACTCCGTGATATTGATACCGAGAAATTATGTAAAAACCGAAAAATCCCAAATATCCCTGGTAGATTTTCGCGGGTAAGCATAATATATTTAAGTGTCACTTATTATTTCTTCAAATTGTTTTCCCCTAGATGACCCTCATTACCGTGTTTACCAGTTAACATTTATTCCAAAGTAGCAGAAGTTCAAAGCACAGCTATAATTTCTTGCAATGTCAACTGACGGTCTGAGTGCAATTATTCGCTTATACCCATTACTTACAAGCTATTTATCGTGACCTGTGACAAACTGGTCTGTCATTTGTGATTGAAAATGGAACCGATTAGACTTCAAAGACTATAATATGCTTGGGTACTTTTAATATCATTCATTGGTTAGGTATATGGGTAACCTGGTAACCTACCTACACACGGAAAACTTCAAGAACACATTATACTATATAAAACCATTATCTCATCGTCAAAACAAATAATAGTTCGGTTTGCTATCCAAAATTAATGTATTTATTTACAAATCGGTAACGCGTAATATTTGCGAGTGACAAACACGAAGCGACCACCAAAAAACCCACTCGAATTGTTCAATCTGTTCAGTTAAATGGCGTTAACATATTAAACAATTAGTTTTGGGTAATTTGTGTGTTGTTCCCATACGACTGCGGTTCATGCAGTGCGGTGTGGGGATGAGTCGCGTGGAGCACGGCCGACCCCTCGTCGTGCGACGCAGTTTTGAAATAGGGTGAGCACTGGCCGATACTCAAACTTTACATTTTTATTTGTACAGGCATCGCCTTTTTGCTAAAAAGTTTTGAGTATTATTTGCCGTGGAATTCGTTTCTACACGTTCTACATTTTTCTCTTTAAATTTACAACCCGGATACAAATAAGATACTTACACCGTGTGCGGCTGCAAAATTGTTACTTAATCTCATTGCTGATACCTACGTTTAATTTAAAAATATTTTAATAGTTAACACTAGTTTTTTAAATTGTTATTACATGTAAGAAAGATTTTGACCTAATACGCGTTACTTTAAAAAAAATATATATTTAATTCTAATTGCAAAACTTTGAGAGCCGCACCCTCCCGTTGACATGTTCAATTCTGTTCCCGACTTGTTAATAATTGCGTATAATAAATGCTTAAATACAACAAACATACAGACAAATACGGGTCGGGTTTACAAAGGGAGCGATTCGGTTTCCAGGCAATTGAAGAACTGTACGCACTTACCAATAGGTACTTACATTTATCTTTGATGCATCTAGTATTTCGGAACTGATTAGATTACCTGGTTTGATATACTTATGCACATAGGGGAAGCTACGTTAATGAAATATTTAGGTTCATAGGTTACATTATAGTAAAGTACAAAAGCATAAATAAATTGCAATTAACATATAACTTAAAGTTATGTGTAAGTGCAGTAAAGAAAAGGATTGAAACAATCTGAATTGATTGTATGTGTTGGAATAGTTTGTTTGCTTAAGATCCGAACTATATGGAGTTGATAACAGTGATCTAAACTAGTTGGCGACACGGATTAATTAAGTGCCGTCAGAAAAACAGTTTTGGTAAAGGCGTCGGTACAGTGTTCCGGGCACTTTGAGCGGCGCGTGGCGGTCGGCCGCCGGCGGACGCGCGCCACGCGCCGACCTCTCTACACACAGCACACAAGACCACGTGGTCCTTATAGTCTTGTGGACCCACTGGATAATCCGCAGCCGACATATGCACGCAAATAAATAAATTAACTCAAGCCGGTGGTTTTACTGCTTTTTAAAGTTCGGTTTTGCATTAAATCAATTAAGACTCCTGTGAAAAAATGTAGGCAATTAAATGTAACATGTTAAATTGTAACTATTACATGATATAAATTGAAATACTACACATGGGTGATGCAAACAACTTGTTAATCGAACACCGAGAGAAGGAAAACAAAAAGAAACAAAATAAATCGAGCGAATTAGCGAATAGAATTTCACAACTAAGCACCGAGGTACCTGTTGCAGTTTTTTTTAACTACATCACATAAATGGTACTTCGGTACTAATGTAAAAAATGTTTATTTAACTATGTAAGACAACGTCGGGCTACAGAATTTTTCCTTAATTGTATGAAACAAAGATTTACATCCAACTGTAATTCAACATTCAGGTTTGTTATAAAGTCAATTTACAAGTCTGGAGTTTATTTAATTTAAACAGATCGTTGCTCACAAGAGCTCGTGACCCAAACTGAAACCGACATGAGATCTCACGCGAAAAGCTATCAAACATGGTCCTTCAGGGCGTGGTTGCGACACGTGCGGGTCGTGCGATGCGACAGTCGCAGGTCGCAGGGTCGCGCGTCTCCGCGACAAATCAATTACAGGGTCGACGAGGGCCGCACTTCCGAACAGAATTAGCACCAAATTATAGTAGTTGTGGATATTTCTTGTTTATCAAAGGGTGACTCGCTAATTTATAGTCATGACAAATTGCAACTAGTTTGCGCCCATTATGTTAATATGTTGCATTCTCACGCTCTACAAAATGTTTGATGATATTTTGATGTCGTTTAATCGTTTTAAAAAAATTGTTCGGTCTTTCACCAAAACTAATTGGATTTATAAAAAATATATATTTACCTGTCCACAATATTGTACCTTAGTGTTGGTAAGTTTGTAAGCAATAAGTGAACCAATTTCGTCTGACGGCAAAAACAGCTATCTGCGGATGTGAATGATCATCGAAAACCGTTTACATTTCAGCTCCCGCTTCAGTAATGTTTCAAGGGTGGCTCGTAGACGTGAAGTACGACTGCGGAGTGTGTTTTATAACCTAGAAGCTGTCAAAAACACTCGGCGAGCCACCAATGGGAGAGCTGGCACTACATCGATCCGACTCGCAGTCCCCGCCAACCCGACGAATTTTATCGCCCTCTTCTTTGAGAAAACGACGTACGTATCTGTCAATATAACTATGTATACAATCTACAATCTACTATGTTTCTATTATTAGAGATGATAATTAGTTACCTTAATCTCGATCGTTTGCTTCATTTCTGAATGTCCTCCATCTGGTCCTTTTTTCGGCTTCTCTCGGGACGTTCGTAACAGAGAATTCAGTGCGACTGGTAACTTAGTCGCAACATCGGTTAGGTAATCGGCGACGTGGTCTTTTTTCTTCCTCCTTAATAACAACTACTAATTAGTCGAAGTTATCAGACTGGTGGCGGGCAATGTGACCGAAATACCCAAGAATTCGCTGTTGTCATACGGTCGACAGTCTAGTTTTTAAACCGAGTTGTTCTAGGATTAACTTATTTGTTCGGAGTTGTTACAATTGTTACAATTATTCGAAGCATTCTAGTAGTTACCTACATATAAATAAAAAATAATGTGATAAAGTCCGATAAAAATCTTGTCTGCCAAATCTCAATGTTTTCATTTAGGCATAATTCAATAAGAGAGAATAATGTAAAAATTAAAATATATCCTTGAAATTGTAAGATCTACTCATCTAAAATGTTCTTAAAAATAGCACTTAAATTGCACCACCATTGCCTCCTACGAAGAGTAAAAATAGGCATGATGATATATATTAATTGAGCACAATAAAAAAAATTAATATACTTAAACAATACATACCTATTTTTAATTCTTACCACTCGTAGCAACCCGTAGCAATTCGTAGCAGCTCGTAGCAAGCACCTGAAAATGTTAATTTTACCATACTTTCAGCAACATCGTTACGTCAGCGGTTTTCTGGCAGCGATAATTAATTATTGGGATAATTTAATAAACACCCACAGAAGTTTTGTCTCTTTGTCTAGGATTATAGGCCCCGCCTCCGCCTGCCTTAATTTTCGAAAGCTCCACCCCAGCGACGGGGGATGAAGGACACACTCGCTCAGACCCCTGTTTTGTCAACACGTTATAAACGTTAAATTAATAACAATAAGGTGAATTTTGTTTTGCCACGAAATTTTCGTCACCAGACTCACACCAATATGGACGCGAATAAGTGACCACCCCTTGTGGTATAAAATTATTATAAGCGGTCCACGCAGATTCAGTTGAGATTCGATTTCGGGCGAGATATAATTGTGGAGGAACCCTATTTAGTGTTTGTGAAATGTCTGCTACTAGGACCCAGCTCGCTGACTCTTCAACTTCACCACCGCTGAGGTATTTTTTGATTTTTTTTTATTTATTTAATAGATACACGTATTTTTTAAGTTTCATAAATTACACATTTTTGTCCAAATTTACTGCGCGAATTAGGAATTATCTTCTATTTATTTATCTTTGTGATGTTGTATTTATTAAATGAACATAACATTGTTATCTGTTAAATATGAACTTTATAAAATTTATTCACATTGAAATGCATACTGTTAAATATTTTACTCTGCATTCTGCAACTTTAATTGTATCTGCGAGGTTTCAACCCCCGTGTGTGGCGTGCCTTAGTTCAGTAGAGGGTTGCGAGATCTACCGGCAGTCGCTCTCAGGAGCGCTAAACACTATGAGCTGGCGAGATGTATTCCGAATTAAGCGCAAATCGTAATTCAATACGCGAACACATTTCAAAAAGTGTTTCAATACTCTAATAAGTGTTACATTTTCTTACTCTACCTCTGAATTTTTATTAAATCCATAAAATTCCAGAATTATTTAAAGCAAAAATGTATGAAACAGAAAATAATTCTACGGAATCTAAGAGCCAGGAGTGCGTTATTATGTTATTTTGTTGTGTCATAATAACAAAGTTTCTTTATATGTTTTCTTGAAAATATTGTTTTTGTGCAGTGATTCCCGTCGTCTGGATTACACGGGTCTGAAGTTCGCGTATGGAGACGGTTCTGATGATGAAGGATCCTCGCTGACTACGGAACTGCCGTCGTGTGTATACGCTGCAGCCAGAAGCCGCCTACAGCTACCTTTAGCTGCATACGTCCATCAGCACTCGAGGCAATTGCACTCAGGTTAGTTTGACATCGAGTGCCTATAAGGGCTAATAGACAATGTCCGGATAACCACTATATACCATATATATACATTGAATATAAACGTAATTTATATGAACTATCTGCCAAATTTATCGGAACTTTGAAAATGCTGTGCCGGAATTTTCTATAAAGAAATACAGACCGTCTACGGCGAACATATCTAACCTACAAGATTAAAGAGACATATAAAAACGTACCCGGCATTAGTTTCAAAATTCAATACCTCTAATATAAGACAATTTAATGCGATAAAAGAGGTAATAATAAATATGAATAATTGAATCTTAACAAAAAAATCTGTGACGCATTTTGGATATTACAAAAGAGTATAGAATTACGTATAGAATTAAAAATTACATAATAGAGAATGTTAACGGTTTCAGATGTGTATAAGTACCTACTATGGATGTTACGATTGATCTGTATTACCAGATTATCAGATTGAACAATATGTAGACAAATTCAAATTTTCGATGACTTAATTTTTTTCATACAAAATCAACGCTGTACTATGACATCATAGACTCATAGTACAACTGTATAATATTATAATTGTTTTAACATGAAAAAATATGGTCATAACAGGTAATTTCTTAATTTACGTAATATTAATATTCTCCATTATATTAACACTTAACTAAATACTTGTTCAAGGATCTGTATTGTAGTATTTTTACTCTATTTCTCCTCTCTAGGTACAATAAAATTCCACGTACATTTGATAAATGCTAAGCTTTTATAGTGATTTTAATTAATTGAACGCGTGGCGTAGTGTTTTGATGGAAATTCCGAGTATCCTCACACTTTCATATAAACGGCCCGAGGCTACGTTATAACAAAATATATTTGCGTTTCATATTCGTTTTTACGTTTATTTTACCGGTTCGTAAGTTCCTTTACTAATGTAAGGAGTAATGGGCCATGGTGGAGTCACGAAGCACAACGAGGTATTAACAAATACTTACTCATATTAACAAAGACTAACTATCCACATAAGGCGCTTACTTTAGTTAGTATTCTTTATTAATTACCGGCCCCCAGAGATTATGCGTATGCGATTTTACAATAAAATATGCGGGATAAAAAGCATGATAAATTGTACTTACACACCTAAACCTTCTTCAAGAATTATACCTACTATCTATTGGTGAAAACCGTAAAAAATCCGTTCTGTAAAGTCTCGAGTAAAGTCAAAATCATTTATATCAATTAGACCATTTTTTTTTGAGGGGCGAAAATCATCAAATGACTTCTCCCACCCGGGTGAGGCGGGAGGGAGTGTCAGACTCTTACTGACTAAAAACCACCCCATTCCTACTCCGGCACTTCGACCCGGAGCCCCGGCAACCCGTTAAGTCTTCCGCGGCTCCGTATCGGCATCAGCCCTGTTAGGCCCCATCTGTGGTGGTTTGATGGCTCGTTGAGGCGCGCGCGGAACGCGACGCGCCGTACACTCGGGCCTGGTTCTGGTCGGGCGGCGAGTCACCCATGCTCGCCATCCGCAGGCCCGTGCTTACGGTGGCCGGAGATCGTCTCGCGATCCCCGACGCCCGGAGTGTCTCTCGCGACGGCCGGGTCATGAGGAGGTTCGTTCGATCACGCGCTCCGCCTCCTCCTTAGCTAGCATGACTGCTTCGCAGAAGGAGGAGACGGCATCCCAGTCCCCCTCGCTCCGTACCATGGTCTGAACCAGAGCCGGCATGTCAATTAGACCAGGAAGCCACTTGTGAACGTCAAAACAAAATATTCAAATATTAATAAAATAACAGTATGTCGGTCAGTCCTTTACTGAAGCTATTTTTAGTTCCAAAGTGTAGATTCCTATGGAGAAGAACGAGCTAATGTTTACTTTAAATGGTTTTATGATACTTAGATTACTGTTGTTGTGCACCACCTGCAACAACGCAAAATGGCTTTTCAGCTCAAGTTATCTATTTTAAATTTGATGTTTCCGTTAAAAGCAGCTCCATTAGTATGCATCAGAAAATGTCATAGTTTAATTTTAATTGAAAATTAATTCAGTGACCAACAAGCCTCTCAACAACGACGATCAACGACCTTTTCGCTTTTTCGTTTTATATTTTTCATAAGTTTCTTCAAGTTGGTTCATTTCATTTATTTTAACGAAATTGCTTACAAATGATATTTTGTATTGAGCTTTTATGCCTAGTAGTTTTAAAGAGTTTAACGGAAAAGTGAATTGAAATTCGACATCGAGAAAATATGACAATACAATCTTCTACCAATGCTAATTTACCTTATTTGTACCTATTCAGTATAAACATAAATATCAAATTTCTCTCAGGCAAATAGGACAGCAAGGTAACTAGTTAGCTTCAGTAGTTTTTTGCCTGAAAGAGAAAAAAACATTTATATATCCTCGCAGACTTTAACACTATTACATTATGTTGTTAATTTTTTACCTTCTGCCCTCTTCTGCCAGCCTCACCGGTGTTCAAAGTCAAAGCGTTTACCAGTACCACTTCCACATTGAAACACTTGTAAAACGTCACAACTGCCCGTCAGCCGTCAACTCAAACAGTCACCACTATATTGATTCTTTTATTTTGTTGTTATGGTACTATTTTATATTTTAGCCATTTTAAACTAAAGATGAGATGTTCTAACTTTTCTTTTTAGAGCGCTCATAGTTCTGTGTTTAATTCTAATTTTACAACTCTTTCATATCTTCTGGGGATACCAGGGCTTGGTGGCTATAGCATTGGTTCAACCTCACACAGACCATACACCATGAAGACGTTTCGATTGTAGCTACCTAACACCATACTAAACACTACATTGATTGTATTGTTAAAAAAATAAATTCATTAATGTATTTTTTTTACAAAACTGCATTCAGTTCAGTTCCCCATTTCATATCAGTAACGATCTAAATCGCAGATTGAAATACTCTAAATTCTACACGTAAACAAAATATTTTACCTAGGTAGGTTATATCCATTTGCTAGGTAAGTATTGTAACTATAATATAATTGTACATACAGATGTGTTGTTGGACACGTCAACGGAGCCGGAGTACCAGTGCGGGGGCTCACCGTACCGGGTGCAGCGCGCCGCCGCTAACGTCCGCGAGCGCCGACGGATGCTGAGGTCCGGACCCAATGGGTATCATTCTTATTTGTTGCACGTACCTTCCTATCTGTATTCTACTTAATTATTTGCATCTTATGCCTATGCTTGTTTAATTGCGTACCCATGCATGCTGCTAGGTATGCTGTAGCTGGTAGTCTTTATAGATCACTGAAAAAGTAACTTCAATTGACTTAAACCTGTTTACCTATGAAATCAGTGGTGGTAACCTTTAGATACCGACCGAAAACAACGAATTCAATCATCGTTAATAAAATAAAAACGCATCTCTAATGGAACGACTATAACACAAGCGAAACAGAACAAATGGAATTAATACGTGAAACTGAAAAATGAAAGCACAGCAACTGAAGTGAATCGATATTCGAAGTCAAAATTCCATTTTGCACAAAACTTTGTGGCCGTGTTCACCTCGTGCTCGTTTTATAGGAAATTATTTTTCGAACTACAATACCTACAAGAGGCGATGTATATCGAGAGTTCCGACAACTTGTAGCTTTCTATTTCCTGCAAGCACTAACAGAATCCCGCCGGCCGCCGGCGGCGTGATTACAGCACAGCGGCCGCGCGGTGCAAAATAAAGTACATACCTAGTTAAAATTCCGCGACTTTTATTAGCTCAATTAAACTTTGAAAAAGTACCTGTAACAGATTTTAGTACAGTTTTGCATAAAATAGGAGTTACTTAGTACTTTGCTTTTGTTGCTGTTTCTTAGGAAATTGTTTTATAGGAAAATGTTTAACGTTTATTAGTTAGTTAGGCTATTGCTATTTCAGTACCTAGAGGTATATTGTTGCTGTTCAGCTATTTGGAAGCTTGTTGTTCTGCACGTTTACTATGACTGTATGATTATTGTATTTACGTAATGTCATCTAAATATCTGCTACACTATGTTATACAAGCGGGAACTAAGTAGTTTAACAAGAAGGATATCACAGATTTGATTCCATGCTAAAGCATTTTACATATATGGGAAATTATTAATAGTAGCTGGAGTTCGAAAAGGTCTTCACTTACTCTTGATGATATTAAACTGATATCGTACACAGTGCATAAGTATCTACTTAGTTCAAAAAGTGTATGTTACATTTTAAATACATATAGTAATTATATTACTGTGGTCCTCCGATTATCACTTCGGTGAATTAAATGTGTGTGACAGGGATGTTATGGAGCTCCATAACCGTAACCGAAACTATCGGATATCCGATATAAAAAAATACATATCCGTAACTGTAACCGAATCCAAAATAAAAGTTTCATATACTATCGGATAGGGGCGTAACATATTAATGAAACCATTTTATTAGCTATTTGTATTTTACTTTTGAAATTCCTTAAGATTTTATCCCTAATCCGTAACCGAAATTAACCTAACTTACGGATAATCCGAAATAATTTCATATCCGTATCCGAAATTTCATATCCATAACATCCCAGGTGTGTGATATGAAGCTATAATGTTGTTGTTGTGTTCTGATTTTAGCAGTATAAACTCGGCGTTCGATGAACTGCGAGTACACGTGCCAACGTTCCCGTATGAGAAGCGACTCAGCAAGATTGACACGCTTCGACTGGCCATCGCATACATTGCGTTGCTCAGAGAGGTAACTACTGCATGTATTCCACTACTAACTGTTGCCCGCGACTTCGTCCGCGTAGAATATGATTCCTGTTTATCCCATGGGAGAATTTAATCGGAATAAAAGTATCCTGTCACCGAAATCAGCCCATACCCTGCCTGTGTACCAAATTTCATCAACATCCGTTCAGTAATTTCAGCGTGATTGACAGACAAACATCCAAACAAAGAAAGTTTTATCTTTATAATATTAGTGTGACTTTCGAATACAAATATTATTTTAATTTAGGTACTTACGAACAGCAAGGATGATTTTTAACAAAAAATTACTTATATAGGTCGTAGAAATGCCCCTTATATACATAAGTACCTACATCTCTAGGTAGTTTCCACACACAGGAATATTAAAAACAGCTATGTTGCCAAATCTAATTACATTTCTTTTTCAGGTATTGGAAGCTGATTATGACCCGCTGACATATGTCGAAAAGTGTCTCCGTGGTGAGATAAAAGCTGACAGAGCTCATTGGAATACTAGCGGTAAATATTTGTATTTTTACGACCTTTACCTACTATTTAATGACGATTTATTTGATTACACGGTTAGCGCAATGCGGTTGTTACATCGAATACACGATGGTATATTCGATTCCCGCAGGGAACAACTCTTTTTGAATGATGCTTACCATTAAACAGAATTTGTTAGAGACAACTTACAGACCTTTAAAATATTCGTTTAAACATAAAAGTTTATTTGTCCTGTTTCCATAGATCTAACTGCGAGACTATCGTGGATCAACTGGGAGAATCTCGGCGTGAATCCTCAGCGACGCAGCGTACTCACATCGCTTGCTCTCAGTTCAGATAATCTACAGTATGGACATAACTAAATCAATCTTTTGTGCAGAGTCGCATTAGAATAAACAGTTTAATACTTCATATAAAAATATAAATAAGGTAGTGTTATGTGGCATTGCGATGTCCTAGTATAACTTGATCTCCCGCTAGATTGCCGTCCCCAGTTCTGAAAACTAACAAACGTTTGTTCAGCATTAATAAGATAAGCTAATGCCACTGCCTACCAGTTATTAGGAATCCCCATTTCTAGAGGAACGTAAGAAGAGAATAATACTGTCAGGGTAAGTATTATAAGCAAAATGCTTTGTTTGTCAGGAATGCACAAATCGGAAAGTTCTCTGTAGTAAAGTTTCATATACGTAAAGAACATTTTCTTATCTACTTATCTGCAGCATTTGCACATGCATACACAATGCATTTAGTTAGCACATTTTCTCTCTTTATCTCAAGCATTTTCACAAAAGCAAAAGAGGCTAGTTGAGTAACTTGAGTAGTCGCAAAGATTCATCAGGAAGGTACGCAGACACCATCCGCCTTCAAGTTTATCCTCAAAGTCTATTTGTGCTATTTCGTAGAAATAAACTTACCTGACTCTCTATACTCTCTATCTATAAAATCTATATGAAGTTGTTTTTAGGTAATCTATCATTATTTTTTAGCATGGGTAGATACTAATAGGTAATTTTAGTCTAGCGATTGTTGATTTAACTTTAATAACTTCTACCTTAAATGCCTGGTTTTATTTAATATCGATGTTTACGTAGAATTATGTGTACGGACGAGAATAGTGCCTTTTCACACGGTCCAGTTACCGGTTACGGCATGTCAAGAGGAGGAGGACTACAACCATGTGTATCCAACGTAGGTGGAAGTATAAGTCCACGTTCTATAATTTACCATCAGCAAAGTTTATGGTGGATTACATTTTAAACAAAATCCTGCGGCTAACTCGCTATCCACCGGACGTTTTCCTTGTGGTCGCTCGCGTCGGGAAGTGCATCACCTATGGTGGTCGACCGCCAACATTGTCGATCGTACATTTTCTGTCGCGTATCTTCCCGGCACCGACTACCAGCAACTGGAGTGTGTGAAAAGGCCTTTAGTTTTTAGGACTAAAACACCAAAAACATTTCCTAACAATTTGGTACGTATTTGTACTATTTTTAAATTATATGTATAGTAATAGTCTACATAAATGAAATAAGTTATGTCTCAAACCACAGTGACAACTTTAAATACTAATGTAACGTTACTAGAACACATAGGTATATTTTCGTATAGAATTAGAAGCTGTTGAAATTAGAATACAATCAGTTTAGGCTTTAGTTGTTACTATTCCACTAGTTTATCTAATAATAATCTGCTATTTATTGTTAATTTTAGTTGGGTCCTGCTTTCCGAGACGATACGCTTTTGAGACCTGGAGCTTTACCGTTATTTTTTATCGTGATGGGTTATTTTTCGTATAATCCAATCTATAAAAATAGTTGTTTGATACATAAAGTACTTAAAGTTGCTCCTCAAAATGAAATGTAGAGCCTCAACTAGTAGTATGTTTAACACGAAATGAAAGGGGAACTTTAAATAAATTCGCAAAGCTGAAAATTGGAATGTTTGGAACACCAATATAGGCCTGAGTTCTAACTCAGTATTTTTAATTAAGCTTCATAATATAATGTGGGAGCACGGAATGAGATCGCACCAATATTTATAAGTTATAATATTCATATTGTTTTACTACCATTGTTAATTATAACAATAAAAAAATTTGAATTTAATAGCTGTGCAATATCTAGTGTTAAGTTATTCACTTGTAATTTTAACTATTATTGAAATAAAATTTAGCAATATATTGGAGATCATTGTTTTATTATTATTAAACATTTCTTATAGATATTTTATTACACATTATGGACACTTAAAACAATCACAATAAAATATACAGCATTTGAAAAATATTGTATGTATAAAATGTAATAGTGTAAAATATATTAATATAAAACAAACAGTAATAAGTAACAATTTCCTATTTCGTCAATTTACACAATATACCTACTTGAGTAAATAATATCAGTAGGAATGTCTGAATGTTTGCAAATAAATCTAAATTATGTACTAAAAGACCGATTCTTTACAGCTGATGGTAATCATAATCACTCAAAGACACCAATAACTTGGTAAACACAATACAACTTCAGAATCTTTATAATTCACTTTTCTGAAGAAATATTCGCTAATCCATCGTCAAAAAGAAAAGGATGGTGTTATGCGCCCGTGCCATAACATTAATACTGTCACTATAATCTGTACGACTTGAAACATATTCGAACAACAATCAACATCAACTACTACATAATTGATTCAAGAATTTGCATCACTAACAAGAAAAATATAGTTTAGTCACCTTGAGCAAAGTCATCCTACATTTAATCATTTCATTTTTTCTACAAATTCATGTTTTTATATGTATATTTCTTTGACATAATCTGTTTCTATATATCTTGCTATATTCGTATTCATTTACAAAAATGTGTTAGACATTACTTATGTAACTACAGTCATAAGTACGAATAATAAGTTGGTATATTCTCTGTTTTAATTACATATCAATAAGACTGTTTATCAAAGAGCAATTTGCGCATTCTAAGACACTAGGAACGATATTAAAAGTGAACACAGGAATGAGATAACGGTTCAGTAATAAAGAACCAATTCTGAATAACAAAGGCAGAGCGCACATCAAAGTATAAAACAAAGGACTATCTGGTTAAATTGATTTGACTTGCTAAGGGTGGCATGTCATTCACCTGACATATCGCAATATTGCCAAGCTTTGTAAGTTTCCAACAAAATGCAATCAACGTGGCGAATACGCTAAAGAAAAACCGACCCACATATAGACGGTGGTCGGTGACTGACGGCACAATAGTTATTGTGAACTCCAGTTGTTCGCCATGCATGTTATCAGATCAGTTTTTTCCGTACAGTTTGTGTGGATATGTTTGTGTTACATTAAAGCTAATGCAGAAATGTTGTTCTAATTCAGTTCATTCCTTTTGGCATTTGTAACCATGCAAGAAAGCAATGATTAACTGACGTCACATAGTGCGGGAGAAAGCAATTGAAAACTATTTGAGAGAAGCAAATCAATTTCCGAAATGCAATACGTTTTGCCAGGTCGAATGCCTTATTTGACTCCTAATTTGAAAAAAGATAGAGATACGCATAAAGTTTTTCTCTTTATTGACAGGGTATATAACTGAGGTATGAACATTCTTATGCTTAATCCTTAAGAGGCCCCCTTAGTGACTCTTGACGACGTCAATTGTCAGCGAGGTGTGCACGAAGGTTCATAGCAAAAAGGAAAGAGGACATGAAGGCAATATGTAGGAGCCAATCAGAGTTTACCTTTTGCGATTTAGACGATTGTCAATCTAAAGTAACTATGAAATAAGAAAAGATTAAGAAGAATTACTAGCGACTAGTTAAAATTGATTCGCCCTTTTATAGTAAATATATAAATGCATTGAAACACTGACTTACATACTAGACTACTAACTATAGGTACATATCCATTTCTAAATATCTATACAAGTTTACCATAAAGACGGCGATCGGTTTTAAGTATAAATACTGTACATGAGGTATTAAATCGAAGTTACAACCAAACTCACAGTTAAATAAATAGATAACAGACAAACGCGAACATTTGTATCAACACTATCATTCTGCACTATACAAAGCAGTCTGTCTACCTACTTAGGTCTACATGATTCCTTGTCATCGTGTGACGACCTCAGTCTTAGTTCTTCCTTTACAATGTTTACAAACATTAGCCGCATTTTTGGTAGGCCATTCCAAATTTTTACTATAAAAGTTAAAAGATAAATCTAACTACCAAATTGTTAGTATATCTTACATTTTATCCAAGAAGTAATTTTACGCGAATTTGGAAGACCGCGTCAATTAATCACATTGAAGTGCATATTGCTATATTATATATCCTTTTGGTAAAAGGATAAATTGACATACATATGGCGCCTCAGTCGATAAATGGCGCTTACTTTATTCCGTACTGATATAGACAATATAGACATACAATGAACAAGTTCTCACAAATGCTTCACAGACCAGTATGGCTTACGTGGCCGCTGTATGCCTTGCACCATAGGTAAATGTTCAAGGTATCTCTTATATTAAAAGTGTCAACAAGCTCTTGAAGACTAAGTTTTCAAAGGAGACTTATACATCGTGAGGGCAATAAACAGCCACGTCAAGAGAATCACGAAATCACGATATTTCGCACAATTATTATTTAAGTAGCTCATAAATTGCCAGTAACGGCTAAATAAGTTATTATAGTCATTCAATTCTGTAGGAAATACATAAGTATCAATTCAATCCTATATTGCACATTGACTAATTATTATCTGAAGGAAGTACTTTCTTTTTAGTTTCTATCTGAATTGGGATGAAACACAATTTGTAAATTGGTTATGTGTATGCCACATTTACAAGTTTAGGTTAAATTGATTTCAAAAGTATTAAAAACTATTGGTTAATTATTTATGATTAATTTGCAAAATAAAAACACAGTAGATGTAGTAAATATAAATTAAAGAGAAAATATTTCTGCTTATTTCTAACCAGTGGAAGTACACAAACATAGCTTATTAGACAATCACTGGATTTTAAGAAAGACTTTTAATCATATTCGATAATATAGTCTTGCAATATCTATATATATAAAAGAAAGTCGTGTTAGTTACACCACTTATAACTCAAGAACGGCAGAATAGATTTGGCTGAAAATTGGTAGGGAGGTAGCTTAGAGCCAGGAGACCGACATAGGATACTTTTTAACCAACATTTTTTTTTACTTTTTACCGAAAATCACGAACGGGGACGGGAAAAAATGGGATTACGCGTACGAAGTCGCGGGCACAAGCTAGTTTATTAATAATTTCATTCAAAATTGTAAATTTTCATTCAATAATGCTCCACCTAGTAATTCGATGCTCCCTGTTCAACAACAGTTACAACAAATATACTTTTCTTAATAATCCTATAATAATTATAGAATAATGTATGTTAATTAATATCAAACACTAGGTCCTAATTTGGCCTGAGTGCTTACAAGAAATCGAAAGACTTCATTAGAAAAATAGCAAAGTGCCACAATTACTATGATCACATTTATTTTTCACGTATGTGCCTTCTTCTTGACTAGAATGCAAAGCACATTACCCGATGGATTTTGGTAAACAACAGACAATCAACATCAACAAATGTGTAGATTGTTTAAGGCCAATCCTCATACGGGTTGCCTACTGTATGCCAAGAAATCCCTGTTCCGGTAGGAAGATGACCGGACGGCAGCAAGACATGCCGTATGAATGTTCTACCTTGAGTAAGTCCCAAGAAGAGTCGCCAATTCTTTCTCTTTCCAAAATCATATGGGTTCTTATACTCAATACCTATATATTTACGTAGCTTTTCATTGATATGAGCCTCGATACTTGTCTCTCCTCTGCCTATGTTTCTTCCATGAATGATGGTCAATGTTCCAAGTGCGATCAATACTGCGCAACAGGTAATGGCCATGAACATGACCGCTTTCCTCTTCCATGGATGAGCAGCGATACGTTGAGCCTCAGTGATGGGTGGAACAGGTAGATGGTGTTCGCGGGGAGAGTTGAACGAATCGTATTCTACAATTTCTTTCACTGGTACTAACGCACCAGTTTGGTTCAGTCTCACAGGGTGACCAATTAGATCTGGATCATTGTTTGGTAATAATCCGCCTGAAATTAAAATAATTAGATCCATTACCAAACATAATAACTTAGGGAAAATGTAGAATAACAAAAACTCTTAAATTTAAGAGTGACGATTTTTCCAGCGGGTTGTACCCGCGCGGTTGAAAATCGCTTCGTGAGTTCTTAGTCTAATAAATGTAATCATTAGTAAATGGTTTAAAGTACCTGTATCATTCAGCCAAAGCACTTTGTATCCGATGTCGATACCGGCAACAATGATAAAAGTCACGCCTATAACCATGTACACCATGTACAGATAGAAGAATCTTGCGTTGTAGTAGCCCACGCAGTTGTTAAGCCAGGGGCAGTGGTGGTCCATGGCCAAGATGCACCGGTCACAAACAGAGCAGTGATGAGTACGGGGAGGCCTTGGAGATATGCAGCGTCGACATATACTAGCTGCTTCAGAAACATGAGTCGTCTGTGGAAAATAAAAAACAAAAATTATTACTTCATTTCATCTAGTTTGATGATAAATAGGTATACAAGACCTAAATACATACAAAATAGCTAGCATTACAATTTATTTATTAGTATTTCACACATATACAATTGTCATGCATAAAATAAATTCATAAGCACATGTGCTTATTAACATGCTACGAAGAGCTACAAAAACCACATAGTAATTATGCCCTTTTTCTTTAAATGTTTCTTAATGGTAAACTTACTGGTGGAGGGTATCCAGGTTCAGTAACAACTCCTTTATAGTATGAAATATAATATTAATTAATAGCCAGTTGCCAAATATGACTAGAAAGACTGTTGTGTAGGGACATCTTTGCCACCAGTATGGCAGCCCTACCCAGTAAGCCACTCCTACCACAGCACTGGTCAGTACTGTGACACAGAAGACAAAAACCTGAAATTGAACATATGACATGACTCCATATGAAGATTATGTTATACTGTTGAATTAAAAGGCATAGTATGCTATTACCAAACATCAAAAAATAAAAAGCTGGTTTAAATGTCAATACCCTATACACAAAACACACTTTAACTTAGCTGCAAACAAAATTATTTCATTTCAAGTTCACTATCTCATTATAGTTTTATAAAAAGCAGTTTGGTAACCAATAAGGGTACAAATTGTAACCTACAGTCACTGGAACAAAACAAATCACCCATCAATGCACAATCACATACATCTTTCATCACATTCTTGTGTTTGTAAAAATGAAATTCATCAATCATTCATTCATCCTACGCTGTATTTTGGTGAGCAGCTTATCACTTGGCTAAAGTAATTTTAGGATGTAAACATAATCTACTTTTACAGGATGCACAGGTCAGCGACCAGAGAGAAAAGAATAGTTGTTGTCAGTCATTAATATGATGGTGATAAAAGTGCTGTCTTGAAGGTTGATGGGGAAACACCATGGCTGGAATTAGACCAAAAAAGTTCCTGGTCAAACACCCCTTGGTATAGCCGTTAGATAATACACAATGAAACTATATTTTTAAGCATTGCTAAAGTGTCAATGCTTATTTGTAAAGTGTATTTGTTGTTATTATATCACCGACTGTACATTTCAGAGTAATTAGCATCATTCCCTGTTTTTGTTTTATTAACTGTAGGGCTTTTTCTGTCAGTTTACAATGTATTAGTTTCATTTATAAAATTATTGTATTAAAAGTATACCTTGTGTAACATAAGGTTTTTTTTTCTTTGGCATCCGAGTCTAAAATACAATGTTGAACATAAGGTTTAATTTTGGTAGCAATTCATTTTCATAGTATAATGTCATATCAGCCTTTGATATTCAAGGGCCGATCTACACTATTGTGCTGATAACAGATCATTGTTGGCCTGCTTTAGAACTGGAAGTTTGATAATAAATAAACAAGTAACAATGAGGCATTTATACTTTGAGCCTCTCATTCCAGTTCAATCTAAGTTTTTTTACTGAGTGAAAGACCATCAAAAGATCATCAGTACTATACATTAAAACCAGTACATTGTAGATTAGATAAGTAGGTACCTACAAATAAAAATTTAATAATTTATTAATATTAAATTATTAATACCTTTTTACCTCAACTAGGTACTTTCAGCCGAAGTCGGCATATAATAATCATATAGATACACCTACACGGATAAAGTTTTTAAATAAGTGCTTAGGTACTTACTTTTCCTAGATATTGAGCGAAATTGTCAACAAACCAAAACACAGGTTCTAGCAAGAAATCTATTGCGTAGCTTTGGTTCATGTGTTCATTGTAAGTTAGAGACCGGAAAATTAACACAGCCTGCGATATTTTCCAAGCTACACATTCTCTGAAAAATAAAAACCATTGTAATATTAAAATACTTACTAAGTTATTATTTCTAACAGGATCATAGCAATAAAAACTTTAGATTTCGCTTACCTAAGTCTTCGGCATAGCCCTCGAAACTTCCACCTGATAACAACCATTTTTACTAAAATAACATTGATTATAACAACAATAAATAAACTTATGATTTGTAATGCCTAAGTAAACAACAAATATTCTGTTTCCCACAAAATAAAAGATTTAGAGGTTATATTTTCTATTTTGAACATTATTTCAGTGTTGTCAGACTACATAACACAAAACGAAGTATTGATTTGTTGTTACTTGTTGACAACGGACTCGGACGTTCACGTTGATCAATGTCCTTGGTTGTTGCAAGGATGGATTGACTTGAACTTCCTTGTTCTAAGGAATAAAACTTAGAAGAAGTTTATTAAATATGCTAAAGAACAATTCGTAATGGAGCTCGATTGATTGTATTTCGAGTTTAAAGTAATTTTCAATAGAACATGAAGCTGGACAAATATCGAATTAAAATTATGATGTTCCCTACCTATATGTAATATACTCTTTGTTTGAGGCGTTTGGCTCCCCTTAATTGACTTTGATGTTGGTATTCCAAGTAATTGGGGGCAATAAGATGTGTCGTGTACTGATAATTATGGATAGGTACTCAGCTTTATTTAATTTATACGTGGTACTCCTTGACTTTAGAACTAAATTGTTTATAAAAATAGACGTAGGATATTTTAAATGTTAAAGGAAAATGAATATGTCACGTGTAGCTATATGTGTTCAGTGCGCCTGCGCCATTGGTAGTTCTGACGTCAATTGTATACTTGTTAGTGGTAGGTAGAGGTACCCTCATATTATTCCGTACTGTGTACCTATAGAGGTTGTACTTTCAAATAAGGGCCTGTGATATTTGTGTCACAGAAGGGTGGGGAGTGGGATTAGGTCGGGTAAAAACACATTATTTTATCAATTTTCATTATTTTTCCACTGATTTATGGGAAGGGAGGCCCAAAGTGGAAGGGACCTACCTACCTACTATACCATTCCGACTCGAAACCTCATGGTTGTGGAGATATACATGATCACAATTTACATGTTAAGAGAGGTATTTCCCGATAAGTAATGAAAAAACCAAGAATAATATTATTCTTACAAAAATCACGTTTAGAAGCACTAAGTACCCTACTATCAAGATGGTCGACGGAGCCCCGCTTGACGAAGCTCCTACTTATGGGTGGTTTAAAAGAAACCATAAAGACTAAGAAGGGGGCTCCGCTGCACTTACTACTACTACGTAAGGTATATCCTGCATAGCGTGTTATTTTTCAATGTATAAAACTTCAAAAATTATATCTCGTGAACCGCGAGTCTCCGCAACTTCAAAATTGTAAAAAACCTTCTTTTTACGAGTACTATCTATAAAAAAAATGAACTCACTGGCACTGGAAAGTCTATCCAATTAAACCTTTGACAACTAGAGATTTGCATTAGTACGTTAAGCTGTATTTGCGCCATTTAAAGAGCGCAAATACATACGCGCCCTCATTAACATACATCGCCTAACGTCTTACGTTTCAATAAATAATAAAGGTATTAAAAGTGCAGTAGTTATAATAATTACTTATTATTATGACTTTACTAAAGTTTACCCACCACCGCTACCTTCACTGGGGTAAGGTGAAGGCAAATTGCATAAGATTAAGGTAATAATGCATCTGCTTTAATACATAAATTACATTGTTAAAAAAGTGTCTTCCAAAATAATGCACGCTATTATGACATTGGAAACTGCATCCCATTTGTAACATTTTGAACACATCACCCTATACTTACGTTTATAAACAGATCTTTTATTACCTACTGCGGCTTTACCCGGGTTTCCAGGGGAAAAGTAGCCTATGTAGGTATAACTTCAGACCATAATGTACTTGTTCTGTCGCGGAGAACCTAACGGGTAACCGGGGTTCCGGCTCGACGTGCAGGAGAAGGAACGGGGTGGTTTTTAGTCAGTAAGAGTCTGACACTCCCTCCCGCCTCACCCAGGCGGGAGCAGTCATTCGATGATTTTCCCCCTTAAAAAAAAAGTGACTTTTAACTAAAGCTTCGTACAGCCCCCTTAAAGCTGCGATGTTATTTAACTCCTGCCTATTGCCTGACATAAAATAAAACCTAGATTGCGGTATGCCTTCTTGCAGATCCATAATGTGTTTCCTAATGTAACTCTGATACAAAATGAATTCCTTAACCTTTCACCTCCCTCCGTAACGCGTTTTTTTTTATATATTACATCATAGCGCCACCGACTGTAGAACATTTAGGAATGCATGAATAAACCAAGGAAGTTTTTCTAATAGTTTTGTACCTACCACAGAAATATTATCTGTGGTTTGTACGCTTAGTGTTTAAGTGTGTTTACCTACATATTTTTTTAATAAATGTTTTTTTCTATTGACTAAGTTAGTGACTCAAAATCAAAATTTGATACTACTTTACTTGTTATTTTAAAATGAATGATATTTCTGGAAGTAGTAGTACCAATTAATAAATGATTATTGATGTATTGACAATAAATGAAAACTAAAATCACTTAAATCAAACCAGTAGTTATTGATGTTTTTGTAGTTAGTTTGTGATGTTAATATCAAAAATGTTGAATATTTTTTCAGACGAGGGATCTCAGGGCTATTTTTGTAGGAAATTAGTTGTATCATTACCTCCCGAGAGGAATACGTCGAGTTAAAAGTCACCCTGTATACACATTTTATGCAAAGTATGCAGGATACATAAGAATTAAATAAACTTTTTTTAAATTTATTTATTTATTTCAAACCATAACAAGAGTACAGTAACATTTTAATAAGTAAAGTAAAGTAAATAAGTAATAAGTAAAAAAACTTTATCATATTTCATGAGCAGCTCAAGTACCTAAGGTACCAGACCTACTTCTCTACCCGAAGAATCTTTATTTTATTAGGTTTAACAGGAAAATCTCCCAATTCTCGGATTACAACTTTTAATTTAATTTGTGATTTTATAGAATCTGATAAAAATTCTTTGAAGGGCACTCCATTGACTACCTCCTCAGTAGATGAACAGTGAATAGCAAGCATTGGTACATCATAGTATTGTTTATCAAGCACAGGCTTAAGACAAGAGAACTTGCTTTCTATCTCTGTACCCTTGTCTACAAGGAACAATGTTGCACTACATTCCTTACTGTTAACAGCCCTTATTATAGCACGTTCGTAACAGTTTCCATCAATTTCTACAGCACATGGTTCTCCTATAATCATATTGAGATTATCTGTTGATTTATCTTTACAATATGCTGACAAATCTATAATCTCCTTTGATTGACCATTATCATTGATTTCACAGAAATAGAAGTTGTTTATTGAGTCTCCGCCAATCACTTTGCCCAACAAGATATCTCCTACACGTAACTTTTTAGGTTCGTAATTTAATACAAGTGTCACTTTACTCTTAGTTGATGAAAAAGTGTTCTTTACTTTCTTTGGCTTTGAGAACACTGCTAAGCCATATAATACCAACATCTGAGACAAATCATAAGCACCACAGAAAGGCATTATTTCAACCACTAGAGTATCTTGAGTTTTATTAACTACATGTATCATTGGTGGCCCATCACCAAGGAATATTTTCATTTTTTCTTGAATACCTGGTCCAAAATCATCTTCTGTAGGTTCGCATATGTGTAACTGACAATGAACTGCCAATCCAGGACAATTTGAATCTGGGACATTCAAGTTTAGAGGATGTATATTTTTGATCTCCACACCAGTATCCATGCAACCATAATCAATTGCAAATATATCACATGTAGGATTTGCTTCGTCACTTATGTGACATATTCTTCCTCGAACCAGTTTATCAAGTATTTTAGACTTATAAATTATATTTTGATTGTTAACAGGAGTATGAACTACATCTTTTCCTGGAGTTTCAATGGCTCTAATGTCTTCATGCACATCAGACCGAAAATATATATTTTTTGGATTAGTGAAATGTGTAATTATAACTTTGTACTCATGACCAACGTGAAATTGTATTGGTTCTAGCATGGCCATGATGGAAGATGTATAATAACTCTGAAATAACAGAAAGAAACATTGTATATTTGCAATAGATAAAAAATAGGTACTAATATTTTAAAACAAAGAAGAAGAGAGGCCCATCTTTTCTGACCGATTTGGCTAACTCGCCCGCCGCGGCGCCGCCACGTGCAATTCCAGAGTTTTTATTTAATAAAACAAATACGCCCAAACAAACGAACGAATTTAGAGAATAGCTACTATTATATTACAACCCATAATAACATTGGAGGTAAAAATTATCAAATAATTTGTTGCAATTTAATTTTAAATGTATGTACTTACTTTATTTTAATTTTTAAAGTAATTTGTTTCACTTTACATCAGAAAATGTTTATTGATCAACGGAAACGGAAAAGATTGAACAGTGACCACAGACTAATAAATATTTTTTTTTTCTTTGGCAACTGTGTCTCCAAAATGGTGTTGTCGACTATACTGCCAGTGTCGAGTGGTGACGGCAAAATTAATGAACCGTCGAACTTTGCGGTAGTTTTTAGTTGTTAGTACAGTTTTTAGTTGTAGCTGGAATGACAAAACAATTGGGTTAGTTATCATAGACATTATCAACTATTTTATTGTATATATACAGTGGTGTAAAAAATAGTTGAGGGACATACACAATACAGACAGATATGAATATATGTACATCATTTACAACATTGAAGACCGTCATATTTTAATTTCATTTTCATTTATAAATTTACATAAACAATTAATTAATTTGTGGGAAAAGTGGGTCAAAAGGAGGTGGAAACTGATTGGGAGAGGCATTTGGATTCTGGGAAGTTTTTTATAGAGGTCAAAGGATTGGGAATTTAAGCAACACGCAAAAAAGATGTGATCTAAAGTTTCCTCATCAAGGCCGCATTCGCACAGCGAGCTGTCGCGGACGCGGATCTTGCTAAGGAAGACCGGACTACTGCAATGGCCGAGTCTGAGCCTGCACAAGGATGAAACAGTATGACGGGGAAGCTTGGGGTACTTGGAAAACCAAGGTTTCCGTCGGATGCCGGGCTGGACAACTGCATAGTAGGCTCCTTTATGTTGGGACGTTTCTACCCACACTGCAGTCCATGAGTCAAACAGCTTGTGCTTTGTGTCTGCACGTATATCATACCCGTACACAACGTGGTGCTGGCGTTCGACATCGTTCGAGGCCGCAAATTTGGCCAATGAATCCGCACACTCGTTACCACATATGCCAGAGTGGCCAGGAATCCAAGCGATCTCGATATTTATGCCATCTTTGTAACAAGAGAAAAGAAGCGCCTTTATCTCTACAACCAAACTGCTATGAGTTCGGGAATGGAGCTGGTCTTGGTTGAGAGACTGTAGGATACTTCGGGAGTCTGAAAAAATAACAGAGTTTTTTAGGTTGTGTGCTCTAATAAACTTTACTGCTTCTAAAAGGCCAACGCATTCTCCCGTGTAGACGGATGCTTCCGGGGGACACTTAGAGAGGAGGGCGATCTTCAAATTTTGGAAGTACGCTGCCACTCCTGTACTTCCGTTTCGAGATAGTTTAGACGCGTCTGTGTAAAAAATATTCCAGCCTCTCCAGTATTTGCTCAAGGCGCGTCCGAACTCGCCCGTAGCATCCACGGAGGATTTCGAGATGCCGAGCCCTAGGATCAGCTTTGGCCTGAAGTGGATAGCCTCATATACGGAAGAGAAGACCGGGAGTACAGGATATTGCCTGATGGGTGCAGAGAGGTTTCTAAGCTAAGCTTAAGGTACAGGGGTACCTGACAATCACGGGAGGGACAGGTTTACTATTCCAGTAGGAAGAGGAGCTATAGGAACAGTGGATTTGTTCTAGGATATGAAGAAGGGGATGTGATGAGAGGGAGAGCACTTTTGAGATGAATCGGTCTGCAAGGTATTGTCTTCGAAAGTTGAGGGGAGGCAACCTGAAGAGCATTTATGGGGGATGATTTCATAGCTCCGGTAATTATTCTAAGGCATTTGGCCTGAATGGAGTCTAGTTTTTTTAATGCACCCTTATTGCAAGGAACAATAAGGAAGCAACAATAGTCCATTACGCTTCTGACCAATGCATTGTAGATGAGCTTCAATGAGTAGGGGTGAGCACCCCACCATACCCCGGCCAGAGCTCTTAGTATCGATACCGAGCGTTCAAGCCTTGCAACCACGGTGTTTATGTGATCCGCCCCAGACATCCGTGCATCGAGATAAACCTCCAAGAATCTAGCACTGCTTTTGATCGGGATATCCTGACCGTCTATTTCTATACGAAGATCCGGAGTGCGTCGTTTGCGTGTAAAAATGACAGCTGAGCTTTTTGGGGCGCTTAAAGCCGTGATTAAGAAGCCATTGGTTTAATGAGGCCAAAGAGACATTGATGGAGTGGGCGGCGTCTGTTATAGAGCTATTGGTAACCATTAGTGCGATATCGTCAGCATACTGAAGGACATTACAGTTGAAATTTAAACAGGAGGGGAGGTCATATGTATACATATTGTAAAGGATGGGACTAAGGACTGACCCCTGAGGTAAACCTTTCCAGGAGGACCTCCGTACTGGGTTATCCTCAGGAGATCTTAATTGGAGGGTACGATCGGAAAGGATGCAGGCTATAATTCGGCAGATCCTACGCGGGATTCTCAGCTCTTGCAGTTTCTGCCTGAGAAGGGGTAAGAGAACAGAATCATAGGCCGCTGAGTTGTCCAAGAAGACCGCGACCAACGACTCCTGCCTGCTAAGGGCCAGTCGGATGACTGACGTGAGGGTACCCACACTGTCAGCCGTACCCAGACCTTTCCTGAAGCCGAACTGAGTCGCCGGAAGCAGGCTCTGGCTTTCTACCAACCACTCAAGGCGGTTTTTGATAAGATGTTCAAATGTTTTAATAAGTATGGACGATAGGGCAATAGGTCTGTACGACGAATGGTCACCAGGATCCTTGCCAGCTTTTAACAGCGGCATTAAACCTGAACCTTCCAGGTAGGAGGAATATAGCCTGAAGTAAAGCAAAAATTGACCAAGTCAAGGTAGTACTGCTTCGCTCTAGTTCCTGCCTTAGTTAGGAAGGAGTAGGGGAACCGATTAATCCCTGGTGCCGAGTCCTTCACATGGTTGAGTACCGTTTGGAGCTCTTCAGATGAGAACTCCAAATCGAGCGGGTCATGAGACTCGGGTCGCTCGGTCTCATGGGATCTCAGGCAGCATTCGTCTGCGGTGGGAACATAAGTTGGAGCAATACTGTTAAAAAAACTGTTAACCAGAGATTCGGGTAAGGTGGAGACAGTGGGAGGTTTGGTGGAGTTTCTAAAATTTTTGACTCTCTGCCAAACTGAGGATATTGGTGTCGATGGGCTCAGGGAACCACAAAATCTCCGCCACCCTTGTCTCTTTTTTTCCTGAACAATTTCCTTGACTTAGCCAAAATTCGCTTGTTTATGAGGTTTTCCAGGTTCATATCTTGGTTATATCTTTTTTCAGCCTCATTCCTAGCTTTTATCATGGCAGTGCATTCACTATCCCACCATGGTGGAGAAGGTATTTTGCCTTTCGGTGCGTTTTTCACCGGAAAGCAATCTTCGGCTGTGGAGGCTATCAGGTCTGAAAATTTGGAGAAACACTCCAAAGAATTCTCGTTGTTCATTGGTGGAAGGAAAGAAGTGCGATGGTCTAATAATTTTGAGTAAAGATCCCAGTCTGCAGAATCTAAACGATATTTTAATAAGGGAGGAAGGGGTTTTCCGGAATGGATTTTGACGAGTGTTTAATTATGATGGGATAGTGGTCACTACCATACGTCAAATTTAAACAACTCCAATTTAGCACGCTAGCCATATCAGGCGAGCAGAAGGTCAAGTCCACACAGCTGTTTCTTTGACCAAATGCAGACCTACGAGTAGGGCTGCCATCATTAATGACACACAACTCGAGTTCATCCAGCATCTAAACTAGCTCATTACCCATATTATCACATACATCTGAACCCCATCTATAGTGGTGGCAGTTGAAGTCACCCATTACAAGTAATGGGCCACTTACCGAGGTTAGTAAATTTTCATCAAAATAAGCTGGTCAACATGAGGGTGAGCAATGTAAAATACAAATATGTTTATGTCCTCAGCCTTAACAGCGACAACATTTATGTCATCGCCAACGAAGGGTAGAGGAATCTGAGAGAAGGGTACTTTGTTATTAACTAACAAAGCACAACCTCCATAACCATCAGATCTGTCATGTCTGACAACACTGAAACACGGGATCCCGAAATTTATATTCGGTCGAAGCCATGTCTCAGCAATGCCACAAATCAATGGTTTAAATTTATTGATCAAGTGGAGTAAGTCACTCTTCCTGGGAAGAGTACTCCTCACGTTCCACTGAAGCAGTGTTAGAGGCAGGAATTTTGCAAATATAATCAAGAATTGTTGAAAGCTTGTGTGCCACGTGGTCAGGTACGGTATGGGCAGGGTTTGATAGTACTGCCATGAGCATATCAGAAACTATGTTCAAAATGTTTTCAGAGCTACGAGTGTTGGTTCCGGATTCCACAGGGAAAGCGCAACCACTTTTAGATGGGGAGAACGAGTAGTTATGTATAAGGGCCTGATGAGCCTTCTTATCATAACTAGGAGAGAGGGGAGCATGTGATTTGGGTTTGAGTTGGATAGTTTTCTTGTAGGAGACTCTTTGTTGGGATGATTTTTTAATAAGTGATGGATCTATGAGGTTGACTGATCTTGAGACCTCAGCATATGACTTTTTTACAGTAGGGAAAACTTGGCTTGCTTCCGCATATGAAATAGATTTTTCTGCCATTAGACCTTTGATGCTCTTCTGGCGACCCAATTCAGGACAAGCTTTGTCATTCGCAAAGTGGTTGCCATTGTAATTGATACATGTGGCAATCTCAGCTGAAATCTGGCATCCATCACCTGGGTGGTCCTGGCCACATCTGAAACAACGTGACTTGGAGCGGCAAAGAGTGCGGGTATGTCCGAAACGACAACAGTGATAGCACTGTATGGTCGGGTATGAATATAGTTCCACGGGAGTGCTGAATAGAAGCAAAACACTTTTTGGGCAGTGTTTGACCGTCAAAAGTAAGCACTACGGTTTGGGTAGGTTTCCATTCGGTACCGTTTGGGGTTGAGACTCTGCGATTCATCCTCCTAGCTTTTATCACAGCCCCACACCCGGTGGGAACCCTGATGTTGCCAATGATTTCGTCCTCTGTCCATTCTACAGGGACGTCCCTGACAATGCCCATTCGGGTAATGTTAAATTGTGGGATCGAAGTTGTGTAGTTTTGAGCTACCATACCATTTACTAAAAAACTGTTAGCATCCTGGTGCGTCACAAACTCAACCGAAACTCTATTCCTCCCCAG